TCTGCGCAGCGCTCGCTAATCCTCCATTGCTGACTCTTTTTGATGAAAAAAGAAACACTAAGATAACTGCGGACGCCTCAGGAACAGGTATTGGCGCTGCCTTATTGCAAAGACACCGTGAGGACTGGCGCCCAGTGACCTACGCCTCAAGAGCGCTGACGCCGAGTGAAGAGCGATACGCCCAGATAGAAAAGGAAACACCGGCAATTGTTTTCGCTTGTGAAAAATTTCATCAGTTCGTGTATGGACGAAGCATTACGATAGAAACTGATCACAGGCCATTACTTGCGATTGCCGAAAAGAACATTGCAGATATGCCACCCAGGCTACAGCGGTTTTTCATCCGTCTTATGAAATATGATTTTTTGTTGCAGTTTGTATCTGGTAGGGACCTGTTACTCGCAGGCCTGCTGTCTCGTGCCGCACTACCAACTGGCGGAGGCGACCAAGTCGAGGACGTGGACGTCCACACAACGCAAGTAGTCACCAGAATCATAAGCAAAGCGACTATGTTGCGGCTGCAGAAGGAAACCCTCGAAGATCCGCTTCTCAGCCGCACCATGAAACAAATGGAAGATGGCATGGTAATAGACGGTGTACTGAAACCGTATGCGGAAGAGCTATCCGTGGTCAATGGAGTGGTTGGTGCTAAAGGGTTGCAAAGTTGTGGTGCTTAAATCAATGCGTGCGGAAATTCTTGATCGAATTCACGAAGGCCACTTAGGTATGAACAAGTGCAAAGCTAGAGCCCGTAGACTGGTTTTCTGGCCGTGAATGAGCAGTGACATTGAGTAACGAGCGCTAACAAAAAAAAAAAAGCAGCGTATGTCGAAAGTACGCATGCAGTCAACCGAGTGAACCCCTCCTGCTACAGCCAACGTCCGACCGACCGTGGCATCGCGTAGGCATAGACCTATTTACATTCGCTGGAGAACACTACGTAGTTGTGTTTGATGCCCATTCTAACTTTCCTGACGTCGAGAAACTCAGAGGTACCACAACGGTGGAAGTAATCGACAAGATATCTGCTATCTTCTCGCGATACGGCATTCCCAACCAAGTTGCACCGACAACGGGCCTCAATTTGCATCGCGAGAGTTCGCGTCCTTCGTGCGCCGATATGACTTCGAGCATATCACCTCAAGTCCATAGTTCTCACGGTCAAATGGCTTAGCTGAAAAGGGGGTACAGATCGTGAAGCGTATTCTAAAGAAAACCCGCGAGTCCCAGGGTGATGTATGGCTTGGTCTGTTGGCTTACCGATCTTCTCCCCTTGACAGCGGTCACTCACCCGGAGAACTACTGCAAGGTCTACGCCTGCACGCCACTATTCCAGAATACAACGTCGACGGAGGCATACCCGTATGGAAACAGCGACAGTCTTCCCGAGGCAGGCCACTACCACCCTTGGAAGCCGGAAATGTGGTTCGGATCAAACATGGAAGCTGGTCACGCCGAGCGAAAGTAGTACAAGAGACTGCACCACGATCATACGTGGTAAGAACGGAAGACCATGGGCTCCTGAGACGGAACCGACAACACTTACTGCGAACGGACGAAAACTTCAACGACGATCAGCCCCGAGGGTAATCCGAACCCCGAGGCGAGGCCCCCGACGAAGTTCAGTGATGGACACCGAGGCAACACCACGCCGGACGACCCACTGGGAAGTCGCCAGGCGCAACCAGCTCAGCCAGAGGAAGATTATAACGCCACCATTTCTCCAGACACTCCAGGAAGCCCACTGGCTGGCCTGCGCAGGTCAGAACGCCAGCGCAGCGAACCGAAGCGCCTTCACTACGGGCCATTATTCCATCAAGTAAATGAGTGCAAAAGAAATCAGTGTTTTGAAAATGTGTGAAGAGAAGATGTAGCAGACCGGACTATCTGCTATCAGCATTTGCCCTAGGCGATATTGTCTCCTCCTCCTCTCCACCGTTTCGTGCGCTTTACTTTCTTTCCTTTGCTTTCTTTCCTCCTTCCCCGCTGTGAGCGCGGCTACTTAAGCTCAGCAAATAAACGGCCAGGGGTCATTCGTCATGGCGAGGCCCAGCCAAGTGTTCATCGCCGTCTTGTCTCCGAGTTAAACGTTACAAAAGCGATGGGATAGTTTTTTTTTTTTTTTAAGCACAAGTCTGCTGCATTTTCACAGCATAACCGACACAGTGAGGAGAAATATACGAGCACCACCTTTCAATTGGAGTGCTTCTTTAGACAATTCCGAATCCCGTGTTGGCGTGAGTGGCGTTAGAAAAGGGTTATAAGTTGTACGAATAGACATTATTCTACTCTTTATCGTCTGTAAATCTACTGTTCTTTTCGAGGCGGGTGCGCTTCTCCGCACACTGTCTCTTATTGTGGCGAAGCCAGCTTTGGCTGACATTCACAAAGTGCGCACGGGCAGCTCGGGATGGAAACACACAACACGCATACTTTTTGAAGTCCGTCACGAGTTTACCATGTGCACATAAAATAGCCACAAGGCTCCTGATTTGAAAGCCTCTCATATCGGAACACACGTTCGTTGCGCATTGCCACTGCAAGAAGCCGTTGTCAGACGTACTACGCAGAGCCCTCGAGCGATGTAAGCGCGCCATGGCGCACAGTAGTACACATACGCCCGTTCGTATTCTGCGAATAGATATATGCTGTTAAATTCATGCGGCAGCATTGCAGTACAGAGGAGCTATCGGCCTTCGTGTGCGATGCCGGCTCAAAACCGGCTGAGCGATCCCCGAACTACATTAGTTAATCAGTGACGCGTGTAGACAGATCGTGCTATAATGCCACCGCGCGATCTACGTCCTCGCAAAGGTGTTCACGTGACATATGCGCCGAAAATGCTAAATGCGTGTTGTACAGCAGGAGGAACGGGTCGGTCGTGGTAAGAGGCAGCGTAGCGGTGAGACGTATAGATGCAGCACATTCGACCGGTGTGCGGCGGACGCGCTTTGTTCTTTTCTGCATTGTGATAGCCGAGTAGTACGCGCAGGTAATGAGTGTGTTATTTCGTGGACTGGTATTTCTATACGCACAGTGAAACTGAATTGATTAGTGGCACTGCGTGTTATATGACGATAATGCATTTCCTGTCTTAACGCGATAGCGTTTAAAGAGCTCGTTTCGCAGGAATTCCGGCAACGGCGTCGTTTGTTGTTAGCAAAAAGAAAAAGCATCATCTTATGCGCGAGCGAAAAATATAGAACGATGCAAATAATATAAATGTGACAAAAAATCTTGGAGCACAGTGAGGACCGAACAGGGGTTGTCCAAGTCCAAGCGAAGATCAAACCTGGGTCATTTGCGTGGCAAGCGGATGTTCTACCAGACGGCCACGCCTCTGCTTGTGAATACAGTCAAAAGAACTTCCTCTGCTTGGAAATTCGGTGAAAGCATCTTTCATGCTTCACAAACACACGCGTCTTGTAAGTTATATGCATGCTTCCCAATGCAACATGATATATTGCCGTAATAATGCGTGGTACAAGCGTCCATTGCCAACGGGCGTCAGAATATGCGATTATCCTAATGGCTCCGTGTGTGAAAGCCGGTAACCCACTACCTAAGGCACACACGCTACCGCGCCCTATATTACCCACGTATAGTGAGTGCATAGCAAATTCGAAGGGTTTCATGCACTAAGTGCTTCAAATACGCACTAGGAATAGGATGTCGCTATTGCGTTCAACTCCTAAAGGCGAAGCTTTAGGGTTCCCTAATTGTTTTTTTTCATTATTCATATGTTTCATATATTGTTGCATATTATCTCCGCATACAAATCTGTGTACATTACTGCGCATAGTATATTCCAATGAACACGAAGTGCTTGATACTTGCATGTTTTACTTTTTTTTTTTTTGTATCGCCCCGCCGCAGTGGTCTAGTGGCTAAGGGCCTTTAGGGCCGTTCCACGCGCTTCCCGCACAGCCGCAACGCACGTGCCGGGACCCCTGCCGCACGCAAGCGGGAGACAAATAAGCCAATTGGCGACGCTGAGGAGGGTGAAAGAGAGCGTCGCCAATTGGCTAATTTGTCCCCCGCTTGCACGCGGCAGGGGTCCCGGCACGTGCGTTGCGGCAGTGCGGGAAGCGCGTGGAACGGCCCTAAGGTACTCGGCTGCTGACCCGCAGGTCGCGGGATCAAATCCCGGCTGCGGTGGCTGTATTCTCGATGGAGGCGAAAATGCTGTAGGCCCGTGTGCTCAGATTTGGGTGCACGTTATAAAGAACCTCAGTTGGTCGAAATTTCCGGAGCCCTCCACTACGGCGTCTGTCATAATCATACAGTGGTTTTTGGACGTTAAACATCGCATAACTATCAAATTTTCTTGTATCTTTCCTTATTATGTAGTCACACCTGTATATTAAACAACTTTAGCTTGAAAAAAAACAACTTTAGCTTGTAAAAAAATGAGCGCATACGCGCCTACACTGAGTGCACTATGGCTTGAATGTGCAACTGTTAAGGAATTGCATGCAGTTTAATTTGTCTTTTTTTCTGTTTCTGCCTTTTAATTATCTCATTTTATTTTGAGGTCAAGTGCCTTATCCTGTCATTTCGCTGCCGGTGGGTAGCTGAGGCTTTGTCAAGCTGACGTTAGACATTTTTTCCGGCCACCTTTTTTATCTTAATTTATATTTTTTTTGTGAAAACAAAGGTCTTTGATTGATTGATTGATTGATTGATTGATTGATTGATTGATTGATTGATTGATTGATTGATAATGCAGATAGTTCTTACAACATCAGAGAGGCAGCAAACAGCACTCAATGTACGTGTTTTGTTACATTTTTGTTTACCACACATGGCCTACGCTCCCAGAGAGCCAATCAAGGTGTTTCGTAATGTCATACATCATAATTATCTATCGAGAGAAAGGAAGGTCCTACAAATATAATAGAATATCATAAAATAATCGATTATTTTAGTGATATCAAAGTACACTACGTGAAGTGAACAATAAAAACTTAATTGTGTCTTTTTCACTTGCACATTTGCAGAGATGGGCATCGAGACACATGAGGAACAGCCATCGGTGCTGGCCTCAGTAGGTGGCCTCTTCAGCAAGATAAAGTCTTACATCCCGACACGCAAGGGAGGTGCTGACTTCACTTCCACATCTGGAATGCAAGGAGGCCCGAACACAGACAACCAGACTGCGCTTGACGGCAGCAGAGAGGTCATGGAATCCCAGTAGAACCAAGAGCCTGGGCACTAGCAGCTTCCGAAGGCCACATTCCACAAAGAACCCTCCTTCCAGCACCGTTTCTTTTCTCTTGCTCTTGGTGGTAACCAGTGACTGATAGTAGCCGCATGTTTCAGCATGTCGGCTGCTGACTCCGTGGCTGACACCGTACACCATCAATTATGCAGCGCAAATGGTGTGGTGGATAAGTGTACTGCTTGAACACGAAATTTGGCCAAAATAATCTTTTCCCTTCTTTTTCCCTCGTTCTGAACAGGCTCAGAGTCTTGTTTGCAGGTGCCATTTGAAGATGAGATTTGGCCACTACAGCTAACGAGAAACGATTAACGATATATTTTCTCCAGAAGTAGTTGTGCCAGTTGCACAAATGTGGCATTAGTCTTTCAAATAGGGCGACTATTCTTGTTTCCTGATTTATTTATTTTTTTGTAATGAAAGTCTTTTTTTTTCGGTTACTTCCATGTAATTACAAAGATTTAACATCATTGTAGCACAGAATCTGCATGAAGCATGCTCATAACGCAAGTAGCAGAAGCATATATGTAGTTATCTGCATGGAGCATGCTCATAACGCAAGTAGCAGAAGCATATATGTAGTTAAGTTTGTTGTAGCAGTGAGCAAGACATTTAGGTGTATGTTAGAGTACAAGCAAGCTGTGCATATCAGTTTATTTCAGTAAGATTTGCAAAATGCAAGAAAGTGTACCTAATAAGTGTTACTCTGTAGGCCTTAAAGATTAAGTGCTTTGCAGTAGTTGCAACAGCACCGAGGTTGACCACAGCCATTGCCATGAAAGATCATGTGTTCTAATCTTGTTTCACACGGATGCAACACTAGAGAACTGTAAATTGTGTCTGAGTGTCACCAAAAGACAATCGCCATTCTGGAAAGCTAGCTTTGCGCACAGTGTCAGCAAACAACGAGCAAGACTCGAAGAAAGATGCATGTCACAAGTGCTGAAGACAGCCTATGCCATCTGTAATACTGCCACATTCATAAGGCCAAGTTTGATTTCTATCCACAGCCACACTACTCGGGCCAACCACATGAAACCGACAGAAAACCCTTCGTGTGGTTGTGGCTGTAAAAAAATCAGGCTTCTCTATTCCACTTCTTGTTCACTACGTTATAAACGATATGTTTGTTTACTGCAAATGCGTGAAGTATATCTTTATCTGTGAATATCGTTTTCCATTAATTGTCCTAGCACATAAGCTTAAATAGGGTTTATATAGCAGCTTGATTATAATCATACAAGCCTGAAGTGGTCACTTTGCTTGCTTGTTTTCTCCTTAATAACCACTGCATTGAATTTCAGATACTCTTGTGTAGATATGGTTGTGAACTGTTATAAAACTACACTGTGATGTTTGGGACTTTATTTCGGTTTGCGTAGGAACTATATGGCATACCTTGGCTGAGTTATCATGATGCATCACTTTCTGATGAACTGTTAGTAAGGTGCCCCTGTAGATCTATGTAGTTGGCACAAAATAAGCTAGCAATGAGTAACATAGTCTATAGACCTTACTTATGACGTGTGAACTATGTTGACGCACTCAACTTTCACAGGCAGTGGTGTGTCACTCAACTAAGCATAGGATTGTGTGTAAAAAGTGCCTGAGCAGATTTATTGTATACAAGAACCGAGATTGACGCATTACCTAAGGTAATCTGTATTGTTACATTTTGTTAAGCAAGTAGAGCTGCAGTCGTTTTTCTCGGGGCATTGCACAGATTTGTTAACAGCTAGTTGTTATCAATTTCCTTTTAAAAATGCAGCTATGTGCTTTGTAGCTGTGGCAGTATATGCCTACTAAATTAATTTCACTAAGTATTATTTCCAATATGACAAACTAGTCATCTATGATGCATATCAGCTTTTTGTTTGCCCTTCTGCTTAGGCTGTAGCATGTACAAGTGGGATCGACAACACGATGTGATGGAATAGTTTTTGAAGCACAAGACTTTGCTGCATTTTCACAGCATGACCGACACAGGAAGGAGAATTCCACGAGCACCAACTTTCAACACTAACGCAGCTAGTGGTCAACAGAGTAATCGTTGACTTTCACAAACTGAAAGTCATTGCTAGTGGTTGCCCGCCAATTCTACCAGCGGAACAGCCGTGAAGTTAACATACTTAAATGGCAGTACAGAAGACTACTGAAGCTACAGAACTAACTAGGCAATGACAGCTCAGTGCCTAAACATTCTATATATCCCACTGGAAGTAAATATCTATGCTTTTAAGTCCAGGATCTTGGTCATGTGCTGATACAATGCTTCTCGCAATAACCATGTTCAAGGGTCTTTCACTACTGGTGCTTTGCAAATGTTTAGTTGCTCTTGCCTTTTAAGCAGCTTCAGTTTGTGAAGGTCATGCAGTGGCTATCTCTATATCAGGTATGTGGCCTTTACAAAATAACGGTCGCTGATGGTCGTGGCTACCACGGTCTGTTCTCTCGCCCACATGCGTGTCCCAGTGCAAGGTGCAGTGAAAATCGCCATCAAGCACACCTTTATCTGTTACACAAACACAAAATCCTAAATTAATTATGCAAAATCCCTGATGCAAGATGTGTATGGTTGATAGAGTGAGCCTTCAACTGCCTAAAAGAGAACTTGAATTCTGTGATGAGATGTCTGATACAGCTGTCGTTACTGGAAACGCTGATTTCATGCGTTTTATTAGTGTTTTCCTAGAATAGTGCCTGTCCTGTAGCTATTTTACTCGTGGCAGCACACACAACTCGTCTCTTAGTAACTTTCATTCTTGTAAGAAGTCTGTGCTGCTGCACTCCTGTATGAAGTGGTAACACTGCAGTTAGCAACGTCTGTCCATACTCTCAATGAAGAATACTTAACTTTTGTGAAGTGTGTAACAGTGAGCGTCGAATACAGCGCAGTCAGTAGTCATGGTTTAGACTAGAAAGAAGAAATGGTGGTGCTGATGTCTGTGTGTATTTAAGACATCTAAGCGAAGTGCTCCATGCGAGTTCACTATTCGTGGTGCAGCCTATTTTCAACAGAAGACTCAAACAAACTAGTCATGTTTCTTGTTCCTTGCCTTAATCGTTGACATCTATGAGTGTGATTAGTGCTCTCTGTATTATAACAAAGGGTACTTCTCATAAAATAAATTTATGCATCTTGTTCTTTTGTAAACGTCTGTGCTACATTCTCCTTGAGATGTACTTAGCAGCATTGTTTTATTCCAATAAAAAAACTATGTGATGTTAACTGCAATGCACTTGTTCTCTAAACTTTGAGTTCATTATGAAGCTCGAAGTACCATCGTTACAACTGCAACCCAGGAAAAGCTCAGTCAGAAAAATTTGCATTTGCATTCCATTTTACCAGGTATGGAGAAGAGCAAACTGCAATGCTTGCAGCCACGGCATATACAATGAGCTATGTTCAGCAAAATGAATCCAGAAAAGTTTGTAATACAACAGAATTCTTTTGAACTGGCTCCCATAAAAGGTAGGTGTCACGGATGTAATCACTGTACAGTATCAAGTCTCATCGGTAGCTGCTCTGATGATTTCAGGAAATCTAACTACCGAGAGCGGCAGAAATTTCTGCAGCATCAGGTTATTATCCACAACCTTTTGTGAAACCCGTGCGGGATATGTGTACAGTATAACCTAATGCGAAATTTTTGCACTGCACATTTTAAAAGCATCAAAACATATCCCAGAAAGTAGACAGCATGCAAGTAACCACTCCTGTGAAGCTTTAATCTGCATAAACAGTTTCGTCAGCATGTATACTACCTCTTTCAAGCTACATTGATTAGAGATGAGCCTGTGTTGTGTTCCTGCAATGCATTAGTTGTAGAAATGCCACATCAAAACAAGTGTATTGTCACTGAAGCCCAGAGTACACAAAGCAAGCTTCCACTGTACTTCCCATCTAGTACTACGTGCCTGTTGCATATGTCGCTCATGTTAGCCACTTTGAGCAAGTTCATGCGCTCGTAAACCGGGCGGTGGACTGCTCTGCCTTACTTTTGCAGTTTACGCGAATGCCTACTCGCCTATCATAAAATTACATTGCCCTACTGATCTACCCACCAGCCCATAAATCATCCCAGATTGAGCGAATAGTTTGGTGCAGACTCCTCATAGGCACCTTGATTTCTCAGTTCATTCATTCCCAAATCCATCAGGGTGACGCCTTACCCCATCGCCATCTCTGCTCAAATCTGTGAGCAGGCTTTAATCACGTATGTCGCCATTGTCCAAACAAGCTGAATCTTCTCTTTGTGGGGCTCAGACAGGGAGCGATGGGAGGCTGCTTTGTGCAGCTCATGACCAGACAACAAAATATGGATCGTATACTGGGCCATGGGGGGTTCCAAACGCACGGACTTTTGCCACCTATAGCCCCCTGCGGGCCCATCATCTATCCTGAACAGATATGTCGCCTCACCTGACCCATTTCATGGCATCAATAAGGTTATAAAGTTTTATCGTCCTCCTCCTTCACTAGTGAAGATGAGAGGAAGAACGTGCAGCCCCATCAGCAGTGTTTCAGAGGGAGTCCTGCCAGCCCACTACTTTCCTACTTGGATGTCTCTTGTCAGGATTATCAGTTTTTGGCGATTGTAGTAATCTGACTTCATGATTCATGGTAAGTTAGTCGCTGTGGCGGTGCACTGATGGAGCTTTTCAGTCAATCAGTGAAAAAAATGCCTTTGCTCAGTCAATTAAATGAATTACAAAATTTGTTTATACAGAAGAAGGTCCCATAGTCAAGACTGCATCGAGACCTTCAACAGTAAATGTAGAAAAAACTGAAATAGCAAACAATAGTAAAGAAAACAAGCAATAAAATACACTGCAGGCAGAAAAAAGAGTGCATCTTAAGAAAAAGAATGAAAAACAGCAAAAAGAAAAAAGTCAGAATTAGATAACATAAAAATTAGGATAATTCAACAATCCTAAATAGTTTTCTGATGTCTTCATAATGAAAGATAGTGAAAAATAAACTAAAAAAATGAAAGCAATTAAGTGAATAGTTTTTAGATGACTACATGATGAAAGATGATGAAAAATAAATTACAAAAAGAAAGCAACCAAGTGACATCTAATTTCAGCAACATAAGATGGCTCAATACTTCGAGAACAGTACCTTGTGAGAAGGCATGAAAGGGAATGGGAGTAATCTAGATTATGGATTGGATGCAAGAGACGTTTTCAGTTCCTTTTTTTTAATGTGCCGATTGAGTGTGACTGTGTGAGGTTCGATTTACAAGGTACTGTATTTCAGAAGCGAATTTCAAAGAAGTGGACCATTTGTTTACCATAGCTAATATAAACTATAGATAAAACGAAATTGCAATTTTATGCAAACGTTGTCAAGCTTTAATTCACTAGATTTTATAGAGGGATTATGGGCATAGGAAGCTATTATTGATTTGCTTTAAGTATGCTATTCCTAGATTGTATTTGAAAGTGCTATGGACCGTTAGTATGTTGTTGGCATGTAGGACTGCTTTGCATAACTTGAAGATTACTTTGCTTAGTTTGATGGGAGACAACATGACTGCTTCAGGTGTTGCCCCAAGATTTGATAAAGTAATTACTATGGGAATGAATAAAAGTGTAGTATAACGAAAGTGAGGTAAGTTGGCAAAAATATCGTGGGATTTAATTAAAAAAGCTATTTAATCAAAAAAGGTGTGCCTTGTTAGCCAGTTTTCTTTGCAGGTAGGCGGTATGCAAATAAAATTTCAAGTGGCAGTATAGTTTAATCCAGAGAAACCAGCCTCATCATTTGTTTTGATTGTAAATTTATTTAGAAATATTGGCAGGATTTAATTATGTTAATGCTGGTGACAGTGAACAATGACAAGCTTCAATTAGGTGGGATTGGTTTGCAATTACTACAGGAGCATTGAGCAGTCAAGCTTGAAAGGTTATGACTTAGTTTCTGCATCAGATATTAAGGCATTTATCACTGTTAACGATTGTCATATCATCTGCATATAGTAAGCATTCTGAAACAGAGAAAACAAGTTGGCAGATTATTTACATAAATTACAAAAAGTGAACCTAGAATACCTCTGGGGACTCCTATATAAAACAGAACCAATGTAGTAGGCTCCATCAATTGCTTTCTCAAGTTTTTCAGTTAAAGGTAACAAAGTGAGGTTGGTAGAATATGTTCCACTTAAACCATATTGGGAAAGAAAGAGAATCTGAAGTTTATTGAGGTATTTTGAGAGACAATTTCAAGCATTTTTTTCCAAAATTCTATTTAAAAAGAGGTATAATGCAAACGGGTCGATAATTAGATATCAGTGTACGATCACCCTTTCAAACATGGAAATGACTGTGCCACTTTTCAATTCTACTCAAAAAATGCCCACATTGAAGCTAGTTTGATGATACATCATGCTATAATTTCAGAAACAGTCATTTTCATGTGGACACAATCATTTTCCTGTGGATTGGGTGAATGCCATCAGGACCAGCACTTGTAGTGCTCAGGTTGTGAATTACATTGTGCGCTTCACTGAGATGTAGGAAATGAGAAGAAAGATTGTGGCAGACGAGAAAGGGGAAGATGACAGCCAGCTTTGGGGATGACGAGTGTGAAAAAGTAGTTACTGAAAACTTCTGCATTTTCTAAGCCAGATTCGAATGCCAGATAACAATATGCAAGTTTACAATATACGAATTCGTGAGTCTCAACTTTAGACAACACTTTTGCCTTCATAAGCCCATCCAAGCTGGGCTGGAGCTAGCTACAATATGAACATGAAGATGTCATTGCTTCAGTACCATATTCCAGGTTTTGTAAAATTACTGTTCGCATTGTCAGGGTAGATAGCCCCTGAAAGATGTTCAGTGTCCACAGTTTACCAGCGAAGTCTTCGATGTAACTACTAGGAAAGAAAGCACAATACCTAGGAATCTTACATACATAACTTACAACTACATCACACTGCGGAGCTCTTAAATACAAGTCTTCGGATGCACCACCATTTACGAAGCACATGGCAGCAGATGCCATAAGGCTGCATAATGTCAAGAACAATTTTACTTCGTCATAAGTGCAAGGCAAATGATTCAAACATGTGCACTACGACAAATGACCCACTGCCTGAATGTAAACACGACGCATTCAGTGAGAGTGAAGGAATGAGAAAACTTACACCAAAAATATATTAGGAAAAACCCTACGTTTCGAATCCGGTCCGGCTTCTTCCTAAGGGGCGAGAAGGACCGAGACGTGCAATGCTTATATATGGTTGCTTGCCATGCGTGAGAGGCTCGTCGTGACTCATTGAAAGCCCTGGCAGTGCAGGGAGGGCAATATCTCCATGGAGCGGTTGATGTTCCCCGCTGTCTGCTGAATGTGCCTCGATTAGAGGAGGAGTCGCCAGCAAGTGTTCCTTCTTTTATAGCGAAAACTGTTATGAGATCACAAAGGTAGCGTGTACCATAGGCACCACACAATGCGAATTGCGTAACAAGTGAGTCATCAAGTACTCCATCCCATCACAAAAACTTCAGGCATGATTCTTCAGTGTTGTCAGCCACAGAATAAAAAAAATTGCACAAAGTTCCCTCGCAAGTGTGTTGTGGGTACTTCATTTCTCCGAATAATGCCTCTCTGCTAATAAAAAATTATGATGGTTAATGACATAGCAGGTACCTTGCAAGTGTCTTGTAGCAGTTACCCAAAAATGTTTTTAAAAGGCTCTGAAAAGGCCGCTCTTCCAGGCTTTCGCTGTGACACTGCTGCGCGGATTCGCACAAGCCTGGCGGTTTTTCTAAAATGCAGAGCATTGTTTGGTCGCACGATATCGTGCTTTGGCATCGGCGCTGTCCACACCCCTTACTGCATGTGCTCTCGTCTCGTGCTGGCCCAGGAACACACCTGTAAAACTGTCGCTTCCCTCCCCATCTTTCGCCTCGCAAAGTTGACACAGGCAGCATCTGCTAGTACAAAAAAATGTCAGGCCTGCGCGGAAGGCGCAACACAGTCACAGTGAAAAGTAGAAGAGCTGCCTTTTAGAGCCTTTCAAAACACTCATTTGGCAACTACTGCAAGCACACTTGCTTGATACCCACTAGGGCATTAATAACACAATTTTTTGGGTAGTAGGCCAACATTCACTATGTTATTTTTTATCATTCTTCTGAGAAGCATGGTATCCGCTAAACACTTGCAAAGAATTTTGTGCTAATGGTTCATGCAATGGCTGACGACGATGAGGAATTATGGCTGAAGTGCATATGCGCCACAGTTAATAGAACAAGAACAAGCTTTTGTAATGGGTTGGAGCATTGGACGACCCACTCGTTAGGCTATTCGCATTGTGTGACGACTGGTTGCTCTTTCGCTGTTTTAAAACGCTTTATCAGTCGTATTAACACGATTGCTTTCCCGACATCAAGCCTGCCTAATGCAAATTTGCCAACAAGTCCCAAGCCCCGATGTGGCTCAGTGGTAGAATATTGGGCTGGCACCCAGCGGTCCCAGGTTTGAGCTGCACTGTGTCACTGGTGCTAGCTTTTTTTTATTATTATTTTGCACGATGTGGTTACGGACACCGGGGGCGGCGGCAACGGACAACTGCGTGTGACCCGAGTTGTGATCTCATAAAAGCGTTCGCTGTACGAAAACGCTTTCCCTGTAAGACTGCTCGCGCTACGCAACCGTTTGCTCGCCACCCTTCATATGTAGGCACTGCATCGCGCGAAAGGAATTCTGTCAAGGGCGTCTTGGCTTTCGCTTGACGTTGAAGGCAACGCTTCTCCTTCATTCAATAAATAAGAATAATAGAAACGAAATAACACTGAAGCATTACCAAACCATATCCAAATACGCAACAATCACGCGATACCCCCACCACTCTGCAACACATTTACTCTAGTTCCCCCATGGGAAAATGCCGGCAGCACTTTTTTGTTTTAGAATCACCGTGTCATCCCCACAAATTCGGGGGTAAAACCGCTTGTAGTGTTCAGATAGTGTTTCATTGTCTGTTCAATTTACAGAGGTCGACAAGTGGAACAACCTCCATCAATTGAACTGCCAACCGAGCGCAATAGCAGAACACTGCGAGCAGTATGACAACCACGTTCGTCCACAGCCAGAAACTAATGCAAGTGCTCAAAACTTTTTGTGTTGTTTGATTGTATGCCGTTTCATTTTAAATGTAGCCTCTCTTGCTCGGACCAAATCGCTAGTTAAAAATACTTGAGGATAAGTGATAGCAGTGCTTCAAAGCATGAGTTGGGAAAATGTAACACCTGATGGAAGCAGATAGACATCTGAGGACATAATTAAAAAGATTTTACCATTTAAATACCGCACATAACTTTAAAAAGACAACCTCCAATACTTTTGTTTCTGAGACCATTCACTGAAGGATTCAGATGCAGATGTAGCTGCTACTGGGACTTAACTTTTTAATCCTAGCAGGACAATGTTACATTTTCACAACCTTCAGTCTCTCAAACATTTTGGTGGAGAGTGCAGGTCTTCCCACAGTTAACATCCAAGACAATTTTATGCAGCGGACGTTCCTTGGCTGCCTCTGCGATGCCTGATCAAGACGAGAACGACGATTCTTCGGAGATTACCCCGCACCTCCACCAAAATGTTCAGGGGAGAAGGCGTCTGAAAAATACCTTTACTTTACATAAACAGGCAGGCATACAATATGGAGCCTAATCTCCACGAGCTTGCACTAGACATCGTCCTTTTTCCTATTATGTTCATCTGTGGCGCCCCATAGCAATATCTAAAGATAATTGCTTTGCCTGCACAAAAATATGAAAAAGCATGATTTTTTATCTCATTTACTAGGAGAACAGATGTCACTAGTGAATAACAAGATTGTATTTGATGTGAATATACAGCAGCATTTTTGAGGCATACATTAGGCTTGGTTAGTGTCTTCACTGTTGCCTCCATCTCCCATCGGATCATCCTCTAATTGAAGGTCATCTAACATTTCTTGGAGAGTGATTCGTGGTGCCTCACCATCTTCGTCATCAGTGTCAACAGCGATCTTATCATTATCCTTGTAAATGTTGACATTCTGACGGTAAGCAGCATCCTCCTCAAGGTCCTCAAGAAAGTCTGTGTAGTCTCTCGCCACGCTGCTGGTTTCAGTCTCCATGTCAACTTGAAGGCGCTGCAGCTTCCAGCGGCGCCTCTGGCAACGAGACATGCGGTCTCCATACACCTTCTTCACGAGAACAACCTCTGGAATCTTCTCAGACTTCAGCTTTTCAAAGTGTGCGTCGTTGATGTTGGCATTTGCGAGATCAAAACCCAAGGCAGAGTCACCCGGTTTCAGCAGGTGTCCCAGGTGAGTCTTAGTGTGGATGTAATTCTCGTGAGTTCCCAGTTCGCAGGCACGAATGACCCACGCATCTGCCAGGACGTGCCTGAAGGACAACTTTCCTTGGCCAGCAAAAACAGTCCTATCTACATCCTTCACAAAGTTTATGTCCATGACGACATATTCAGTGAGCTGCTTGGGCGTGCACAGTGCACCGAAAGGCTGCCGCCAGAAATGCTGCGAGGAGAGTTCCGAAACCTGAAGCGTGGCAGGATCCAACAAGTGTATGGCGCTTGTCACTCTGAGACAAATGCATATCTGATTCATGCTGCCCAAGGACCTTGCTACAGCAGGCGGGAGGCATATAACGTCGTCCTTGCAGACCGGGGCGATTTCCACTGAGAAAGTGTGCTTGTAGTTGAAGGTGTTAGAATGTATGTCGTGCGAAACTAGCTGTTGCGACATGATATACTTGCAGGGCACCATGGTCTGAAAGAAGTCGACCAGCTTGCGAGCTTCGTCCTTTTTCGAGAAGTAAAAGTCGAGCCCGTCGTGGTGTGCCTTTATGTTGAGACAGTCCTTGTGCGCTTGGTGTTTCAGTATGAGTTGCTCCAAGTAGAAGAAAGTCTTCTTGTGTTGCACTTTCTGCCTGACCTGCACAAGGGCTCGCCAGAAATCCTTAGCTTCCCGTCGGTGGCAGTTGTCGCACATCTGGTGGTTGATCATGAACTCGACCACAAACACCTGCTGCAACACGGTGCCTCCAACCACCTCTTTCTGAACGGTCAACTTGACTTTGATGCGTCTGGAGTGAGGCTCCGTCCAGACGAAACTGGCATCTACCAGCCGCACACTACTGAGACCCCTAATCTTCTTTAAACACAGACCGAGGAGCTCTCGCGACTCGAGGGTTGCGTAAACCCAGTGAGCAGGGGGTTGCAAATAGCGCTCGCAACCACGGCAAAAGTAAATTGTCCCCTGCTTTGGAATCTCTTCGGTGATGTCAACGAGATTTCGAAGACAGTTGACGCACATGTTTGAAGGATTCGGCTCTATCGGTAGACCGCATTGGCAGCAGAGAATCCTGCACTCGCCTCCGGAGGCGGCTGCTTCGATGGCCTGTTCCATGACGAACGTGTGTAGACTTCGTATCGATGCAATACAGGTTGTAAAGTACACGTGCTCTCACATACCACGCACACCGGCAGCCATAACGCAGAGAAAGACTATAATGATGATGATTTAGCAACTGCGCATCTCGCGCCGCCTGCCGCCACAAAGTGCCCATTATCAAGAAAAACAATAAACAATATAAATTAGTCACATACTAAAAATTACAAAATAAAAGTTATACGTTTAGAAGTATTATTTAATAATTAATTATTAATTTTGAACATGACGCAGAAAGAAATTTTTTTTTACGTTTGTAAGCCAAGTCAAGCACTGAGTCAAGTATGCATGCAAACATGTGCGTTGAAAAAATGTGAGCTCTAGGTTGTCTTGTAAATTTATTTAGGTTCTAGCGCTTTCATCTTATCCTTCAAGGTTACTATTCACTGCCTCTTTCTTTATCAGTGCAGTGTAGGTTTACGACATTTAGATATGATAAACAAACGTTTCGCTTCCCGCAGCGTTTAACTAAAGACAAGATTATCGCAGCCGGGCGTAGTTCGCTTGTGTTGGGTTCGCGACAAATATTGCATTTCTAGGTGATGCCGAAACCACCCAGCAAGCAAGCGGTCCTTAGCTTGTACCGAAGCTTGGTACGTTACGGACACCGTTTAGAGTTGTCTGATAAGAAGTATTATTTCAAGAGGATCCGAGAGGAGTTCGAAGCGCGGAAAACGCTAACGGAACCAAAGGATCTTCAATTTTATTTCAACGTAAGTAAATAGGGCGTTTTTTTTTTTTCTTCATTTTTTCTCTGAACAATGTTGACGATACTAGTTCTATAGGCACGTATAATATCGAGCGGCCTTATCTGAAGATCTTGGAGGAAGCGGTTTGTCCGTCGGTACGCTGTACACTTCTCAAATGCCGTAAATAAATATAAACAAAATAATTGTGGAGTTTCCGACGTAACGTAATATGAATCCTGTGCGTGCACTAAAGTGTCTCTACTTTTGCTAGGCATTTACTTACGCGTGGGTGTTGGCGATGGGCGTCTCGCTACAGATTTCGCATTGAAATTCAGTTTGATGTTGAAAAAAAAAGGGCAGACTTTATGCAGTGGTCGTGTTTTCTGTGACGCAAATAACATCACGTGCTTGGCGATAGTTGAGCGAAGGAGCGCAGTCCGCCGCGATTCAGCAGTGTTTGGTGACGTAGTCGTCCTCTTTGTAGAAAGGAAAAGCGTTCCTCGAAAGGAAACGGCTGATATGAAAAGATGTTGGCCGGACTCGCGGGGACTGCGGGCAGGCTGACACTGGCCGGCGGTCTAGGCGCGCACTGCCCGCGTGCGGTTGCGGCCGCCACGATCGAATGCACGAGGGGCGCCCACAGAATCGATCGCTCCAAAGTGCCCGTCTTGAAGGAAGAGGACCTTGTCGAGCAGTTCATCCACGGCAGCGGTCCTGGGGGACAGGCAGTCAACAAACTGTCCAACTGTGTGATGCTCTGCCACTCTCCTACAGGTACGATCCGAAACTTTGATCGTTTCTGTAGTACAGTCTCGCTTGACGAGCTGACTTTTATCCCGCAGCTATGCAGCCATCTAAATGCAGTGATACCGCTCAACAGCATTCTGTTTGTCTTTTGATAAGGAGTAGCGACAAGCCGTATCATGTCTATAACATTACTAGTACCTATTTTGTTTACTTGTTTCTACTTAATCGATAAAATTTGCATAGAACGAGTAGTATATGTCCATTATGATGGAGTGGCGGGATTATTTGAAGCAGACGTGTGTCATCTCTACAAATACGTGGACGGTGTCATGTCTCTGTCTGTGCGTCATAAGATGCACAAAACTACTGGGAAGCAAGAAAACAAAACGTTGCGGAAAAAGCCAAATTTTCATCTCAGCATCTTACCGTAAATGCGTCTTCACACAACCGTGCAATGACCGGTATATTTAACCAAAGGCAGAGACTGCTGCGCCGCGCGGCGCAGGAGCCATCCCCACACAGAAACGGCTGCTGCGCCGCACGGAAGTGACGTGTTGCATTTTCCGGTTAGGCGCTTTGTTTGAATAGTCGGGAGTGTCTAGCGGTACGTCTAGACATAACAATAAAAGCCGTTAAAATTACGTCCAAACGTAAAAGTGAACAAAAATGTTATTTAGGTTCCGCGTGACAACAATACAAAACAGGCTTGTTTGTCACCTCAAACCGATCGGCAGCTGTGGCGTAGTTGGTTAAGGCAAGACATAAACTGGTGAGGTCGGTGGTTCAAATCCCATTGCAGTTATCGATACTATTCTTTTTTTTTCTGTTCACGCATGTATTGTTTTAACATTTGCGCCTCCTCATCGGCCCAACTTGCTGCTGGTGGTGGTCCCGTCCACAGGCCCTTTAGTATTGGATCTTCGATGACGCTTGCAGGATTGACTATATTTATTATGATAAAGTGTTTTGCGAATTAGTGCTCTTAATCGGCGAGACGCAAAAAGCCACAAAAACTCGAATGCAGCTGGCTGCATTGGTTTCTTCAGCACAGGTGTCAGGAATGTTGATTTTCACGGTTTATCAAAGTCTTGATGACAGAAAGGTGCACCGCAACGTAGTCTTGGGCAACTTTTTTTATGTCGCTCAGTGTACCATCACCTGACGAGGTAACCTGTCACCGCAATGTTCTCGGCGATCAGCACTTGATAAACAATGCCCAAGGGCAAGTGCCGACGGCGTTAGCCCATCTAACTACTTGTCTGCGTTGCTCAAAAGCACGCGCGGCCTGTGACAGCACGGGAGCATTCACGTAGCAACGGATGAGAACGGCCGTACGTGTTCGCACTTGACTAAACAGACGGCAATGCAGTAGCTCTGGCCATCTGAGATCACAGGCTTCGTAAGAACATTACAATAAAGTTGTTTCCATCCATCGTATGAACACTTCGCCGACGCACTGGGGTTTCATGCATGTGCGTCCAGTCAGTCACACGTGAACCGTGCGAAAGCATTTATTTCATCGTCGACCTTGTCCTTCGCGACAAGCAAAACTCTGCAGCAAGAACACTTTCTCCTTTGACAACACCACGCTTGGCATTGCAATCTAGAAAATGCAGTACGTCCAACGACTGTAATCCGCACATCATACTGAGAAACTTTATGGCGCACACACTCAGATGAAGCTGCGGCGCGGTGGATGGCCGCGCTAGCTCCAACCACCGGGTTCAACTAAGCATCCAGCAATCACATGAACCAGCGACGACACTCCAGTCCTCCTTGGGAGTGGCCTAGGCCATGGCCAAGATTTCATCGGAGTTTTCACCATCAACACATCGCAGGCGGCTACTATCTCGCAGTGTTTACCTTTAGCTATGGTGTTCTAGCCACCATACTTTAGCTGCAGCGCCCGTGGCGCCCCCTGTATTCAAAATACTTGTAATTTATATTTAAATAACAAACCTGAACTAATTGACTCGTTAAACACCTTTTTAATAAAAGTTTTGAAGGTTTAATGCAATACGCACGAATAATTTACACATTTAATTAGCTTTAGGTAATAATTTTTTAAGTGGCGTCACTTCCGTGCGGCGCAGGAGCCAGTTCTGTGTGGGGATGGCTGCTGCGCCGCGCGGCGCAGGAGACGCTGCCTTAACCAAATAGGCCTCCCTTTCTCTCTTCTTCTTCTGCCGACATCACTAAAGTCTCACAACTTTGTACACTGCCATTCCACGCTGCTTCGCCTGGAATGTGCCGCGACGAACCATGTGTCTATAACGTTCGCACGATGAGCACGAGGACGCGGGATCGAGTCCCAGTTCCATATGCGCATCGTTGTGCAACTTGTTGCGGACTTGCGCGCACGTGCGGATCCAAAATAGGAGGGGGAGGGGGCGAAACATCCAGATGCTCCATCGCTTCAGTCCTGCGTTTTTTTTTTTTTTTTCTGTAGTAGAATGAATGCTTTCTTCGATCTCCTCAAAGAGGCACGTTAACGCATAGTCTTCTTCGACAGGAAAGGGAAGTCCTTGTGACCGTCTTGTATATCCATAAAATGTCGAACCATAAGCGATCAGAGTCGTGTATTTCTCGCTTACCATGCGCACGATAATTAAGGCGCCATATAAAATGTGTTGTCTTGTTCCGACAGGCATTGTGGTTCGTTGCCACGAGAGCCGCCTGCTCCACGAGAACCGGAAATTGGCGAGGAAGATGCTGCTTGAGAAATTGGACGAGCACTTCAACGGAGACATGAGCGTCTCGGCTCAGAAGCTCCGAATCAAGCAGGACAAGCGGCGAAAGCTTGACCGCAAGAACGAAAAGCTGCGTGAACTCAAGAGACAGTTTTTGGAGAGGCAGAAACAGGGAACAGATCCTGGCACGGAGCAGGCGTAGTTATTATTATATTGTTAGATGTGTGCGTGTGTGACTGGAAACTAGCGAGAACGTTGAAGCAGTTCTGTAATAAAGTTGTTCGTATCTACCTCTTGCTTTCAGTCTTTTCAGTGTTGTTATTGGTGACCTGTTCCCATGTAATTGACAGTAGCGAGAGGCGGACGCCCAGTGGGAACACTACGTTAAAATATATATAGTTTTCAGTGTTTTACAGATTGTATGGATATTGTGTGGGTACACGTAAGGTGAAACACTAAATTAGTTTACGATGACAAATTACTCTTAAAACTCTATTCTTGTCAATTTAACCGCTATAGGTTTGTCAGTAGATCAATGTTAGAAGTCACACTTTTAGGTTTTTCGCCGGAACTTCCAATTGTGCCGCGGATTTAAGTTGTTTTTTTTCTCCATATTTTGGCCCTATACGCAGACGCCGTAAAAATCCATGGCGTGACGGCGACAGGTGCGGGAACTTGGTGTCGTCACGCACATTTTCTTCCTGCGAGTTTTCTCGCATGAGGCGTGGTGATTTTGGTATTTTGAAAGAGTATATACTTCACTCATACGGTGGGGAAAAAATGTCAACTGTGGTGCCTGCATATGTCGTTTTAGTGAAATGACAGCACAAGCATGTGTTTGATTTTCTAAAAAAAAAAGAAAAGACATTTGCCATCAGAAGAAGAAAGAAGGAGGGGGACAAAGTATGATCCTAGCTCCTCCCCCCCCCCCCCCCTGTCCTCCCCGCGCTGGTCGAGTCCAAAAGACTTCACAATGGGTGAAAGGACGAAAATGAAGAGACATGCCGTGCTTATTACGATGGCCTGCCTTTACTTCTTGCACCTTTCTGGGACTAAACAGGGAGTAAATTGTTTTTGTAATGTAACATCGGGGGCCTTAGGCAGCCAATTTCGTCGAAAAGGAGTGTGCTCCTTGACCCTGCCTTTCAAACACTGACGGAACAGGTGTAACTAAGTAACGGTATGCGCTAGAATTTGCATCCCTCCCCTTTTATTGATCGGGGGGGGGAGAGTGGGGGGGGGGGGCATATGCTCACTCCTCTACCGGTGTTTGTATCCAACCAACCAAACAGTGGTGTACGAACACTTTAAAATATCAAATTGAATAGTATGCTACAGTCGACTCAGTCGTATTGCCTGAAGCACACCATTCGCAGCCGCATCGAGAGAGAGATTTGAGTGCCCCCCTTGTAAGATTTCTAGATTTACGTCACCGGCGAAACGTAATGTTTTACGTAGTAACTGCGAACCTTTTAACGCTTCTACTGTCATTTAGCATAGCGCGGAAGCGAAGCATATACAGCACGAATGTCTTTCGCAGGTGAAGGGCAGGCGTGCCGCGGTTCTGTTGGTAGAGCCTACATTTTTTTCTTTCGTTTTACCTTCGCCGCAGAAACTGCTGTCGGATACTCGAAATGTATTCGATTGGCTTCTGGCGCTATTTAATATGTATCATTCCGTCTCAGAAATGGCTTATTCAAGTGTTTGAAAGCTAAGTATCACCGTATTTTGACGACGTGCTCGTAATAAAGTATGTTGACCCCAACTCAGCGAGTGTTTAGATGCCCGTAACGCTCAGAGGTTATATCTCGTGGCACGGCCATGCTAGAACAATCCTATCCAAATAAAATAGCGCAGGAGTACGAGTGTCGCTGAGTTTTCAATTCAAACGCGTTCGCTTCTGTGATTTAACTAAAAAATAATTATTAATCTACGGAATGAATTAAGTGACAGCCCGACACAATTATCTCTTATGAGTGCTCCCCTGGTCGCATACTGACTTAGCATTATACAAATACAACCTTAGCGCTATACAAAGCGTGACACTCGCAAATGCCTCGAACTTTTAAATTTGAAACGCTGATATGTAAATAGCAATTTTTTTTTTCGCTTTGGAAGTATCAACAAGTCAGCCAAGTTGGCTTGACGGCTGAGTAGTGCGAGAAAAAAAGTGTTCTTGCAGACGCAGAGTTTCTCAAAATGAAAAGCGCAATAAATTTAGGCAACGCGCTTCCGTTCACGCTGAAACTGGAGTTATTCGAGCAACCTCGCTATATCGCATATAATGCTCTGGTACGACCCACGCCTTCAGGAACGTTTGCAATGATTAATAAGTCGCGGTTAAGAGCTCATGTGATCCACTGAAACAAAAGATGTTTCTCTCTCTTACCGATGCTTTTTTTTTTTTTTTGATCATAAGATTTAAGCGCACCCGTTTTCGTATTAGCTCTACGTAGAGGAGAGAGACGCGCGCATCCCTTTACGTCCTCTTGCCTTCATTACGGGCACAGCTGCCTTTTGTTAGGCAATCTTTAAAGTGTACTCGTAACGATTGATTGTTCCTGCTCGCCTATGCGCTGTGGCGAGGGAGCGTTCAGCTGCCTACTGGTCACATAGCGCAATAAACACGGCAGTTGCCAGAGAAATGCCAGCCCTTCGTCATTGCCCGGTCTCCCGTTGAAGAGGTAAGAGGCGCGTGATATGTGCTCACATTTTGTCGCGGACAGTTCGAGCAAATCATCTCCTGAGAGTGATTACGATCTGATCCTTTACATATAGTTTGGGCACTGAGCGCATGTTGGAGTCGTTTACAGTCAGTTACAAGAAAAAATCGCAGCATATTTACGGAGTGAACGATGATGAGTGGGGCGAAGCGTGCGTCCTGGACGGACGGACAGAGGCACGAACGGATGGAAGCATGAACGCACTGACGGACGCATGGACGGACAGGTGGACAGATAGACGCGCGGACGGAAGGACAGAAGCATGGACGGACAGACGGAAGCATGGATGGACAGACGCACGCTCGGCTGGACACTCGAAGGTACGGACGGATGGACGCTTTGCACCACTCATCACCATTCACTCTGTGGATGTGCTGTCCATCTATTCAACACTAAGTATTACCATCTCGCATCTTTTCATCATATATTCTTCATATAGAAGCACCGCCATCCAGCGGACATTCCAAGGACTATACGAGAGGTGGCACACGCACACTTTCTTACGGCTTGCGCTTCGGGTCTACTTCCCACCTTTAACCACCTCGAGTTCATGGTATATACTAGTTCACTGTATTCATGGCACTGCGGCCGAACGCTCGCTAAACCTTTCGAAAACCAAGGAGGTTACGCCCAGCGAGTATGACGTAGCAAACTTTTTCAGTCAGATAGTGCTCAATGTACATGCCAATGGCTGCTAATGGGAAATGAAAGACAGGAGAATTCGGCTTTTATTTTCTTACAGCTTGCGCTTGGTATACTTCGCTTTTTTAACCACCTCGAGTTCATTCATGGTATACACTAGTTCATTGTATTCATGGCACTGCAGCTCAGCGCTCGCTAAACCTTTCTAAAACTAAGGAGGTTACACCCAGCGAGTATAACGTAGCAACCCTTTCTTGTCAGATAGTGCTCAATGTACATGCCAATGGCTGATGGGGATCGCAGCGTGCGCGTTAACTAAAAGCCGAATGCTCCTGTTTCTTATTCCCCATCAGCAGCCATTGGCATGTACATTGAGCACTATTTTTTATTGTTCAACAACGCACAAAAGAATCTCTCACCGGCCCCACCTTGGAGGTCAAAATGTTATACTTGTTACATACTACAATGGCTACGAGGGACGAACGGGTGCCGCTATAAGAAGCTTCGCCCATAAAAAATGTTAGCTCTGCTCACAATACAGCTATAGTGCCTAGATTCTAGTAGTACAGCGACGTGCCTCAGCGCCTCCAGCGCTGGCTTACTATGGTACTCTGTGCCTGTTACTTACCCGTCAAATACAACCGTTCTAGCTGTTTTCCGATCGGACCGTAAGTCATTTTTTTTTCTGCTAATATAAATAGGACGTATATTCAGAATTAAAGGATCGTAGTTGCGTACATAAAATATTAGGTTTGATTGAGCAGCAATTTCAGATTATCTGGCGAAATTTACCTAGACACTCAAGTTTCCGACCTAAAGCAAGCATTGCAATGGTGTGTCTGTATGGTGAACTTAACCATCTGAAACGTCGTGGAGGTGTTCGTCACGAAAATAAGCGTCGGGTGAAGTGCTCAGTAAAACGACGTCTGTTTTGTCATCATCGTTAGAGTATGTCTAAGAAGGAAATGTTCTGTTGAGTGTTATTGACGTTTGTGGCAATAAATTTTTCCTAAACAAAACACCGCCGCCAAAGTATGCGGCATAGCACTCCTATGACGCGGCTTTAGACATTGAGGCCCCCGGGACGGCTTTAAGCTCTCCCATAGGAGAGTACCCTGTACTCTAAATCATTACCCACTTTTTTCTACCCCCCCCCCCCCCTCATTGCTTCGACGCTTTGGTAAACAGAGCAGTGGTGGGGGGGGGGGGGGAGTCACAGCATATCCACAGAGTGAATGATGATGAGTGGGGCGTAGCGTCCGTCAGTTTGTCCGTGCTTCCGTCCGTCCATCTGTACATCTGCCCGTCCGTCCGTCCATGTAGTGAACACTCCAAGTACCAGCATCTCGCATCTTCTCATCACCCACGGCATAAAGAGCATCGCCCCTAAAAAGAAAAGATTTATGGATATCAAGGCTATTGTTGTATGGTTAATGTGGGTGGTGCCCATCTTCCATGGCCTCAGTGGCTGCAGCGGCTCGCCGGGCCTGGCCGAGGGCCGCCAGTTGGCTTCCCTGTTTCCAGTTCCGCAAGCCGCGCCTCCCACGACCAATTCTGGGGCGTGCTATTCAACAGAGGCGATACGGCAGCTTCCAGGCGTTGTGTGCACTGATATATAATGCGCTCCAGTGTCGGTGTTGCTGCGCGCCACGGGCATGTGTCGCTTTATATGTTTTTAATAGAAACTCTACGAACGGGAATCGCTGGGTACACGTGCTACGCACTTCCTCGGGTTTCAAATTAGTGAAGCTGCCATATGTTTCTTGTTTGTTGTTTGCCTGTCTTTGTTTCACAATAATGGTGGTCGAGGAGATTCCAAAAACCGTTTACATCCCGTCATTACCCCCGGAAAGTCGGGTACCAAGGCAGGCCGCCGTGTGCAGCGCGCCATCGCTTTCTTTTCATGTTTCCATCCACGCGCGTGTTTGTGCGTGTATACGCGCACAGAAAATGCAAGAATTTCGGGGTGGGAGTTGGAGGGCTGGAGCTTTTATTCCCTCTCAGCCGCTAAGCGGCTGGCAGCCCCTTGTTATCCGGTAAGCACGCACTTGAAATATCAAGAGTGTTGTAGTTGGTCAGCGCTATTGAACGCCCCTTCGTCTGTGCTGTCCTTATGCGATGCATTCCCTCAATTATAATAGCGTAAACATGCAATCTTTCAGTGTATATAGTAAGTTGAGCGTAAAAGAACACATTCAGAGATACATGCGTGAGACGGTGGGAACTCAATCGCCCGATCTCATCAACGTTGAGCTGATGTATGTCGACGCATGGAAGTAAGTACTTCGTCGTTACCTATTCCCCCTACAACGCCAACGCAAAGCGAGGCTGTGATCCCATGGTATCACAGTGTCACTTTTTTTTTTTTTTGCGGGATTATGGTATTGATAACTTATGGCCTCCTTGCAATCTGTACAGATTTAAAAGAGGGGAGAGGGCCGATTGTTTATCGCAGCGCCCCCTTCATAGGTCAAAGTATGGGGCTGATTTAGTCCGGCCACCTATTAGCTAGGCGACTAGAGAAGGCAGACCCCCTCCCTCATACCTTAGGATACGCGAACGTTCTTTGTTGGAGAAAAAGGCGTTCTCTTTATCCGCCCATTGACAAGAATGTGGCTGTGCAGCCTTGGGTACACAATTATACTGTCCCACCATAAACAGCAGGTCTAGAAAAGCGATTGAGGCCATACTTATTCGAAGAAAAGGCAATAATTGTGTCAGCGTGCCGTCAGTTTCACTCAGTGATGTAGAATTTGTGTACCTAACTTGTACTTATACGATATGATACCACAGTTAACCTGTATTTCCTAGCTTGGGGCTGTTTAGCTTATCGACGTACATCACCCACAGATATGTTTCTCCTAATAAGGTTCAGCACCGAGTCAGCGCCTGCCCTGCGCTTCCTCCTGGTCCAGTGCGTGCTGGATCGTACTTTTTTTTTTTTTCCATCACGTCTCTGATCCTTTCACTGATTCTGCTTGCGCATGGAACGACCTAACCTGCTGTCATTCCCGTCACCGACTTCGCACTCGACGATAGAATGACAGCTTGTAACATTCACGAATTGTATGTGAACTGGTTTGCCAATTGGATTTTATACGATATGCTCCAACTGATGTCGAAATTCCAACTGGTTTAAAACCAGTTGGTACCAATCGACTTTTTTTTATTAATTCGCACTCACTGACTTGCTTGGTTGTGGTTCGGGATCTCTACCAGCGCTGTCATTCAGCATCCCGACGTGCCGTTCGCAGTGTGAACAGTTCGGAGCACTGAGTGGACATGGGCGAGCCGAGCCTGTGCACCGAGATCGTGTTGACCGGCTTCGGTGGCTACCACAAGTTGGCGGTCCGCGAGGCTGCCTACACCGCGCACTCTTTGCTCGACGACGAGGTGCTGGTGCGCGTGCGAGCTTGCGGTGCCAACTTCGCCGACAACTACGTGCGACTAGGGCTTTACGTGCACGGACAGCAACGGCCACCATTCGTCATGGGTATGGAGGCAGCGGGTGACGTCATTCGAGTCGGCAGCGCTGTCACGCGCTTCAAGGTAGGTACGCGTCATTGCATGCTTTGTTTGAACTGAAGAAAGTGAGGAAGAACTAAAGCACGCAGTGAATCGTCCCGGTGGAAAACCGGCCTCCTTCAAGGCTTACTAGGACAGTTAAGCATAGTCATATTGTCACGGGGTATATAATACAACGCCTGCATCCGCGGGAAAAGCTTTTTCATTTCATATTCTAGCGCAGCGCGGTAAATTTATTGTATTAATACGTCAGTATATACCGATGTGCATACGTGTGCAGAAACGAAAATCATACGTGTTAACAGTCAGGGAGCACAAGTGATAGTCTCATCAGCTCTGTCTGTCTCTCTCTCTCTGTGTGTGTGTGTGTGTGTGTGTGTGTGTGTGCGTGCGTGTGTGTGTGTGTGTGTGTGTGTGTGTGTGTGTGTGTGTGTGTGTGTGTGTGTGTGTTTTTCAGTTACCTCTCTGCTTATTGGGTAGTGTGAACGCCCGCTGTGCAGCGATGTGCGCGGTGTTCGTGACGATCCCGTTACTCATCTGTTTAACTTTCTGAAGCGACGCTACAGGCTTCCTTCTGTATCACATAATAATAGCTCTCACTTAACTAATAAAGTTTTTCATACCATATACCATACTTAATACGAACTATCCAGTGAAAAAAAAAACTGTCATGCTTGACTGCCGAATATGACTGCCTCAAGTACAAAGTTAATTTTCCCCGCATTGGCCGAATAACAGAAGGAGTCTCGAACAGTATGGCGAAAAGTATTGCTCGAACAGGAGCTCTCATATGACAACACCCTACGCATGTTCTTCATGAGTTTGACTTTGACACTTTCCTTGTACGACTTCGTGTTTCCGTGGATGACGCTTGGATTAAATGGTGCGATAGCCAAGAATGGTTGAATGCAAGGCAGGACACTGTTCTAATACCATGATGCAAGGACAGCAGGAGAGTTAGTGCCACCCTTAATTGCGAGCATCTCTGATTGTTCTTTAGATGTGAAGCAGCTCTTTGACTCACGCACGTGTGTAACGCCCGTACGTACGTTTGTACGAACGCGCCGCAACGCGTTCTTCTCGCCGCAGGTGTTGGGTCGGTGCCAAGTAGGTCAAGTCACACTTGCACGCTTTCCTCACAGGTGCGCGCTGGCGTCACTTTCTCCCTCACACGCAGCACGCTCGCCGCAGCGCTCGCAGTTGCCGGCTCCTCCGCCCACTCACAACACACTTCTCTCTCGCTCCACCCTCTCCTACACCCGCAACGCTCGACCGCACGTCGAATGAATACACTTTTTGGCTCGTTTATCTGCGATGAAGCTTACACGAAACCCAACCCGCCTCTCGTATCTTTGCGTTTTAAACAAACGTTTACTCGAGTAAACGCTACACCGAGTTTCGCTTCAAACCGTTTTTCCAGCACCCGCGTCGACTCCCTTTTCAACCGGGTCAACGACGCGCGCACCGCTGCTGCCTCGAATCCCATCAGGGTTCCTTTCGGGGAGATGGTCCATAATTTTCGTCACTGTTTAGCCTCGCAACTGTTTCGCATAAAGTTGTCCTTACGGTCAAATAACGTTTATTCAGGAAATACGTTACGAAAAGCTGCGACACCCTGTCTATGGTGCTTGTAAGAATGTTCTTTGATGAATAGTGTGCTCGAGTGTTCAGCGTGACCGGCGCAGGAAGGTGATCGCGTGATGTGCTGGCGCTTCACTTACGGCCTGTGGGCGAGCGTGGCCACATTGTCCGAGCGAGACTGCTTCGCCATCCCGAACGGAATGAGCTACAACGAAGCCGCCGCCTTCCCAATCAGCTACGCCACAGCCTACCTGGCCATCTGCGACTTCGGGGGCCTCCGCAAGGGTCACAAGGTGCTCATCCAGGCGGCCGCAGGTAGGATCCGTGCACGTTGCATGGCGCTTTGAATTGCGAAAACGTTGCCCTCTAGCGTGTGACGTCATCGATTGAATCGGGGATAGCAAGCGACTAAACCGGGGCTGTTGGAGCTATTACACAAAATTACTACGAAGAATCACTATGTAGCCAGTTTCTGAGCATGCGCATATATGAGATTTATGTGCGCGTTTCAGAGAACAATGCACTTTGTTAGTTATAGATTGGTGGCGTTCGAATTCATGCTCATAATGTCCATGCATGCTGCAAAAGAAAAAAAAAACGCAACAGCATTTTTTTTAGAACACGGACAGTGATAAAAAAGGCATGCAAGGCTTTTTGGTGTTTTTGTGCGCGTGAACTGCCCTAAAAAATGCGTGCCAGCTCGCCTTCAGATTCTTATTTTGTTAGGTTTCATTTCACGATCGTGTCAGTGCGCCGGCAAGATATGAGAGCAATCAAGCTATCATAATTCGCAGCTGCTTTGTAATTTTCCCAGTGCTGAGACTCTGACATTGAGCGTGCTTATTCGACAAGGTGGCGTGGGCTGGGCAGCTACCCAGCTGTGCCACACGGTGGAAGACGTGACAGTCTACGGCACGTCGTCGGCATCCAAGTTCTCCCTGACGCAGCAAAACGGTGTCAACCATCCGATTGACTACCGCGTCGAGGACTTTGTCGATGTGGTGAAGAGGATGGAGCCTAAAGGTATGCCGGCGTGCCATTTGCATGTGTAACATAGGGAAATCGCCGATATAAAGCAAGCAGCTTGAAAGTGTGATATACGTGGCGTATATGCGCAGCGATATACGTAGCGATGTTGTGTAGCGCAATGCGCATTGCGTTATGTGGATAAAAAAAAAAAAACGCCTGTCCTGCGCGGAAAGTGCAGCACAGTCACCGCCTTTCAAAGCCTTTTCTAAACACTCATTGGGTAACTGCTGCAAGCCCACTTGCTGGGTACCCACTACGACATTATTAATAATAATTTCTGGGTAGTATACCAGCATTCGATATGCTATTTTTTGTAATTCTTCTAAACTTCGGGGCGTCCAGCTTCATCGCGAGCTCTAGGTGAAGATCAAGCCTGTAAACTTGGGCTGCTCCGTTTTGATCTCTATTTCTAAAAGGCAACTATCCGCCATCTTGTATGAATCGAAGCTTATACGTACCGAGACACGCACTTGCGGGAAAGTAGATACCACTTCACGTTGGCACTGTTAGATAGATAGATTAATAAATAAGCTTTGATATCGCAGTGACCTTTCTCACTGATGGGGCACGATAGTCAGAACTTATAGTACGGCGATTCCGTTGGCCGATGTAATTCTCTTGCTGCCCGGTTTCAAAGCTGTCAGGTTAATTCTCTTCAAATTTAACGCCAAATACTGAAGTTCCAATGCAGCGTCGCGAATTTGGGCGTGTTTTGCGGGTTCTGGCGATCTTTTCCGCACGTTATAATGAAAAAAAAATTGTTATTTTGGGATTGGTATAATTGGCTGGCCGGTGCTTGTTCACAATGCTTAACGTCGCGAGACGCTAGCGCGGCAATTTCTACGGCCTGTAAAAACCAAAACCACAAGTACTCGTTACAACGCATCAGCGCATGGTATGTTCTCTCCCTTTTGAAAAAAGAAGGCGCAGCGTATGATTAGGGCTTTAAGCGCGCCGATACACTTGTCCGTTCTCGCTTTCGTGCTCGCCTCTCAAACCTACGCCACTGGTAATGCCAATATTAGTCGCACAATGTCGCGCCCCGGCGACGGCAGTGATCCCTTCTGATCAATGAAAAGATTAGAAGGAAGGGAGCTCAGTGGCTGGCAGAAGTACATAAAAAAGATAGAAAGGCAGCTGCGAAATTTTGGAACCATCTAAACTCCCTAAGAAATGAGACGAGCCTAGAGCAGAGATTTATAACTACAGCCCAAGGTGCTAGGCTAGAAGGGGACGAAGCTATTGAATATATAAGAACAAAGGTGACAGAAAAATTTCAACAAAGAAGTACTTTATGCACCACAATAGACAAGGACGAATCAAGTGGTGCAATGGCTCCATTTTCACAACAAGAGTGGGTAAGGGCTGAGAAAAGGGTTCCTAGTACATCAACAGGCCCAGATGGCATTCCAATTAGGCTGATAAAGACATTAGGTCCGAAGTCTAAGCAGGCTTTGAGAGAGGCAGTGAGCACAATAATAATCGATGGTGAAGTTCCCGACGGATGGAAACTTAGCAGGATGAGCATGATCTATAAAGGAAAGGGGGACAAAGCTGACATAAACAACTACCGTCCTATAACAGTGACATCAGTGGTCTACAGGCTGGCGATGCAGATTATAAAGGAAAGACTGCAGGCGTGGATAGAGGATGAAGGGGTGCTGGGGGAACTGCAGAATGGGTTTCGGAAACACAGGAGGTTGGAAGACAATCTGTTCTCACTGACGCAGTGCATAGAAATAGCAGAAAAGGAACACAGGCCCCTGTGGCTAGCATTTTTGGATATCAAGGGAGCGTACGATAGCGTGGTTCAAGAGGAATTGTGGGGAATACTGGACACACTAGGCGTGGAACATGTAGTCACTAATATTTTAAAGGGTATCTATAAAGGTAACAAAGTAGTTATAAAGTGGGAAAAACAGGTATCCAAGCCTGCAGATGTAAAACGGGGGCTTAGGCAGGGGTGCCCCCTGTCACCCTTATTATTCATGATGTACCTACAAGGATTAGAGGCAAAATTAGAGGGAAGTGGACTGGGCTTCAACCTCTCTTTAGTCAAACAAGGAAAACTTATTGATCAGGCACTACCAGCATTAATGTACGCAGATGATATAGTGCTAATGGCCAACAACAAGGAAGATTTGCAGAGATTGATGGACATCTGCGGTAATGAGGGAGATAGGTTAGATTTCAGATTCAGTAAGGAAAAATCAGCAGTCATGATTTTCAATGACAACGAAGGTAGTGAGCTTAGAATACAGGAGGTCACGCTAGAGATAACAGATAAATACAAATATCTAGGCGTATGGATAAGCAATGGGACCGAGTATCTGAGGGAACACGAAATATACGTGACGACTAAAGGTAACAGGAATGCAGCAGTCATGAAAAATAGGGCACTGTGGAATTACAATAGGTATGATGTTGTGAGAGGAATATGGAAAGGGGTCATGGTTCCTGGGCTGACGTTCGGCAATGCGGTCTTGTGCATGAGATCAGAAGTTCAAGCAAGATTAGAAATTAAGCAACGTGGAATAGGTAGGCTTGCTTTAGGAGCTCACGGAAATACACCAAATCAGGGAGTACAAGGTGATATGGGATGGACATCATTTGAGGGCAGGGAAGCTAGCAGCAAGATAAAATTTTAAAAGCGATTGAGAGAAATGGGGGAAGAGCGTTGGGCTAGGAAGATTTTCAGCTACTTGTACATGAAGAATGTCGATACAAAATGGAGGAAGCGAACCAGGAAGTTGACTGGTAAATACTTAGAAAACAGCAGGTGGCCAAACCAAAAAGAACTATCGGTTAAGAAGAAAGTGAAGGAAACGGAGACTGACATGTGGAGAATGGGCATGATTAAGAAGTCCGCACTAGAGGTCTACCGAACGTTTAAGCAGGAAATTGCCAAGGAAAGGATCTATGATAATACTCGGGGTAGTTCTCTACTGTTTGAGGCCAGAACGGGAGTACTGCGAACCAAGACATATCGGGCCAAATACGAAGGGGTAGACACAATATGCAGTGCGTGTGGAGAGGAAGAAGAAACTGCCGAACACTTGATAATGTTCTGTAAAGGGCTTCACCCTATAATTCAGGATGATGGCGCAGAGTTTTTCAAAGCACTGGGGTTTAGGGACCGGGAGGGCAAAATAAACTTTAAGCGGGTAGACTTCACTAGAAGGAGGTTATCTGATTGGTGGCTAAAGTCAAGGCGCGAGTGAAAATTAAACTCTTCACTGCAAAGTACGAATCCTCAAACTCTTTTTAAGAAAAAAAAATAAATATAGTTTTTGGTTCATTAGATATTACGGCTTGGTGGCGCTAGCCACCGCCCGATCTAAAGGGTACAGCCATATCCATCCATCCATCCATCCATCCAGTGGCGCCGTCCACACCTCCACTGCGCATGCTCGCGTCTCGTACCGGCCCAGGAAGAGACCCGCAAAACGGTCGCTCCCCTCTCCTTCTTTCGCCTCGCAAGGGCGACGCAGGCAGCGTCTTCTATTATTAAAGAAAAAATGCCTACACCTTCCCGAAGGAAATCGTGAGAAAATGCGAATGCATTTCTTGCGCCGAGAGAGGGTACCGCTGCCGTCAGACATTCGCCTTCAGCAACCTCTACCATCTCCTTGAGTGGCGCCAGCCAGCGAACGGTCGAGAGTGAGGAGCGAGCGGTCGGGAGAGCGGGGCGCCAGCGTTCTCGGCTCGGCGTTGACGTTTCACAGGGGCGTCTCGAGCACACATTTCCGGATGTTCTTGTGAGGCGCCCAGCCAGCGAACGGTCGAGAGTGAGGCGCCAGCGGACGGGAAAGTGGGGCGCAGGGAGGAGAGAGAGCGAATGGAGTAAGAAGGAGCGGCGGGTGAAGCACTGCTACAGTTTACTAGAAGGGTAGCGCTGCTTCTACACTCTCTCGCACCAAATGCTCCAGTTGCTAGGGGCTAGGATAAGCGCCCCCGCCCGCAGCTGTTACTATGGGAGAGGGAGTGAGAGCGGAGAGATAACACCTGCCATTGTGCGGACACCGCCGCGGACAATGCCAGATGCCCGACATAGCCCGACCAAGAAATGAATTTACATTTAAAACGACTGCTCGCGCTGCACAACCGTTCACTGGCCGCTCCGTATATGTAGGCGCGTTCGGAATTCAGTCAACAGCATCTTTACTTGGATTTCGCTTGAAGTTGAAAGCAACACTTCTCCTTCATTCAATAAATAAAAATAATAAAGACCAAATTACAATTCAGCATTCCGAAACCATACCCAGTTACGCAACATTTACGCAGTACCCCACCACTCTGCAACGCATTTACTCGACTCCTCCCCCCCCCACTGTAAGCAGATGCGGGCGGCATTTTTTGGTACTTGAGGAGTGAAACTTAGAAATCTGACTCTGTTTTATAAACATGCCCCCTTTAGTACATTTAGAAGCTGAGTCCCCCCCAAAGAGACTCACATTCTTTTGCCTGTCTCTCTCTTTTTTGCAGGTGTGGACATCATCATGGACTGCCTGTCCGGTGGAGAGTTTACCCGTGCGAGGGCACTGCTGAAGCCCATGGGACGCGCCATTCATATTGGTTAGGTTTCGTTTCTTTTTTATGGGTGAAGCTCTTTATGGTCTAGGGCACTCCATCCCTCCGGCGTAGCCAGCACAGCATATCCACAGAGAGACAGACAGACAACGGACGCTTCACCCACTCATCATTATTCATTTTGTAGATATGCTGTAATTTTTTTTCTTGGTTTTGGTTTTGTGTGACATTGACATTTTTCACAGTGGGAAGGCAACGTACAGTTTCATGAATGTGTGTGCCAGCGGTTTTATTTTCCAGTACGATGCAGAAAAATTCCATTCCTGAGAATTCCCTAACAGTAAATTTTGTTAGTAGATTGGTGCCTTCAAATGTGTCGTTCACCAAATACATATTACGGTGTTCTACAGTTCTATGGCCGTTCACCTTTCCTCTATATCATGAAAATTTTGTGCAACAGCCCTATCTATGCTTCATTACCCAGCATTTGTGAGTGTTTGGCGGTGAGAGGTAATGGGCATCAAACCATTTGAAGTACCAAGGATGTAAAAATGTATCCAAAATTATTTTGGACGAAAACAGGGGAGGTATGTGTGCAGATGTGAAATTCTACGCATGAGGAGTTAAGGATCCCCCTCCCTTCGCTTGACAACCAATTATCTGATAATGCACTGCTGTACGTGAAAATGTCAAATATGTATCACATTTTTTCATGGCACGTTCATGGTTAGCTGTGTGTGCGGATTTTATTTTCCGAACTTCATCTCTTTTTCTATGAGGCTTCATTTGTTTTTCATTATTGGTTTATCTTTTAATTATTGGTTTATCTTGAGTTACACATCACTATGAACTCTTTCCAGACATTAGGTCTATGCAAACTTTTAAAACCAAATAATCAACAACTGGGACCATAAGCTTGCTCAGTTTTGTTGGACTCTCATTTGATTCAATGGTTACACTGTGTGTTGGTCGCAGGCATCAGCAGCATGGTGTGGGGCCAGTATTTCCGGCCGTGGAAGACGTTCAAGACGTGGTGGCAGACCAAGCTGGTGAACGTGTACAACCTGTCCAAGGACAGCCAAGCCATATGCGGCCTCAGCCTAGCCGCCGTCTCCGAGAAGGAGCCCCATAGGATGATCGATGTCATGCAGCACCTCACCGAGCTGTACGAACAGGGAAAGCTCAAACCACACATCGACTCTAAGTGGCCATTTGCTGAGGCAAGTGTACTTTCGATTCACATCCTCCACGGAGTCGTCTTGCATTGTCCTACACAGTCACCTGTGTATGCACTATTTATGTAAGTATATATAATTTTAAGATTTTCAGAAGTCTCTCTTGTAAGTTGTCATGGAATGTTATGCATATGACCAGTGAAAAGTATTTTCAGTGCACACTAAGTGAGTCTGCCAAAACTTAATTTTGCATGACATTGTTGACCTTATTTTCTTTGGTCACTTTTGTGTTACATAAAAAACTTAGTCTGCACAAATAAAAAAAAGTGATAATTTAATTTTTAAATAAATTAGTAAATATCATTGTGAAACTGCGGGTGCCCACATGGTACAGTGCCGGACCACTCAAGTTACTTTGTCACAGTGAACTTATGTAACACGGGAAAGCATATATGCTCGAGTATCCGCTTGTTTAGTTTAAAACACATAATACTAACTTCCTACGAAGTCTTAGAACCTAAATGCCACCTTTTGTTTATTTGAAACAGGTTGCCAAGGCTATGGAACAGATAATAGAAAGAAGAAATGTAGGTAAAGTAATACTTTTACCGCCCGAAGAACACAAGAAGTCATTGTCATCTCAAGGAACACGAGAGTGACGAAGAAAGATGTCAATATATTTTTTCATTATTGTAATTCTTATACGATAAAATTTTCTATTGCATGTGGCTTTTCACAGCGTGGCAGAGCCCCATTCACAGCGCTGTAATTATGCGTTGATACAGCAATAAAGTGAAAACAGGCAACCAGACTCATTATTCCAAATTTAGTGGCTATGAATATGACTAGTTGGTTTACAAGTCTGACTTATGCAAGTATTAAGCATAATCACCCCCCCCCTAACCCGTTTCTGTTTTGATGGCTGCTCTACCATTACTGTTGTTGTCCAGTAGTTCCGTCCTTACCTATTCACTAAATTTTCTTTTTGTCAACTATACATCCTCGTATTTTGCTCCGGTGAAGTGTAATGCGAATGAGAGAAACTCCTAATGACTAATGTCTATGTTTTCACATTCCAAAACCACAATATAATTATGAGAGACACCACCGTAGAGAGCTCTGGAAACTTTACCATCTGGAGTTATTTAACGCGTACTGAAATCACGCAGCACACATTTCCTACTAAGACAGTCTAGTGCATATCAGCCATTGTATGTAGAAAAGCTTGCATCCCGAATTGCTACGTGAAAGAATGCATAATGTTAGCCAGTCTCCACAAGATGTTCAGCTTGATTGAATTAGAAATGACAGCACCTGGAGCTGAAATCTCGGTGAATATAGACTGATACTAAACGTAGCTGCGAGCACTGTATGAGACTCGGCTGATATGCAGCGCAAGCGTTTTTTTTTTTTTTCGCTTTAGTACCCTTTCTAGCACTAAAATTCGCGTTATCACCCCCTCTGTGATTGCCTGTAAAGGTGGCTTTGCTGTTAGACGATAATGCCACGTGGCGAACACAAAACATACGTAAAGAAGTAATAATAAAATAGAAAACAGATAGGTGTGGGCACACAGACGCACACTCGCTGAACGCGTATACAAACATCTTCTAGTAGTCTCCAGAAGTTGGCTTTTGCTTTTTAATGTAGACAGTATGGACTTTGTTCATGCCTGTTCAGCTAGTTGGCAAAAGCGTTTCTGTGTTGAGCTGATATGTTCAAATGGTAAAATCAAAAGAATGCCTTCAGAGTATACTACCCGCTCTTATATGAGGAATGATTTATTGATCAGCTGCCGCTACAGATAAAGATCACGTGCTACGTGACGTTATCATACAGAAAAAGATGTTCCACACTCGCCATCATGGCTGCGAGTGGTGCTTAATAACACTTCCAAGTTTAAATGCACAGGTATAGACATTATTCATGTCTATAAACAGCGGTAGGTGCCTTCGACATACTGAGGCTCATGTAGCGACGCGTAGGCTCCGCCCAGCCCAAAGATCGCCACAGCCCTGTATAATACCACGTGACAATTGGCACAACTGTAAAGCTGCCTCCATGCACAGCGCGTTGGGGAGGGGGTGGCGTCCCGCGGCTCTCTGACATTGTGGAAATTGAAACAAAAACAGCGTTTTTCAAAAACTATAGCTCTGCAACTTTGCAATGGGCCACCGCCATCTTGGTATCGTCAAAAAGAGCCTTTCTCTGCAGGTTCAGATTCCCCACTTCCGCTAGCTCTTCCGCCCAGAAGCAAGTGTACAAAAAGCAAATGTTTAAATTTCCCTTCGAGGCTTCTAGTTGGCTACATCCGCCAAGTTGCTTCAGCACGCCTTGCCATTGGCCAGATTTCTCGCTTTAATAGAGAACGTCATCTGCAGCTTGCACATTGCAAATCTAAATGCTGTCGAAAATCGCGCTGCACGTTCCCACTCAAAGCACGGGTCAACGTTTGCTCAGTTACGCTTTATTTTGGCAGTTGCAAGCTGGCGAGCTTGGAAGACACGCGTTTTAGAACGACACGCGGTCAAACGTTCTGCTTATCACCACTTTGGGCCTCATGACGAAGACCATTTTAACCACATAACGGAACAGAACTGAACACTATTCTAACCACGTAACGGAACAAAACCGAACATGTGCACTCTTGTCCAAGCATCACACTGAGAAATACACAGTGAAGCTTTACATTAGCCATGCTGCTTCTTTTCATTCAATATAACAGATATGCTGTCGTGACCTTCTGCACATGCTGTCATTTATTAAGCAATCAGAAGGACTATATAAGCTAATAAGCAGCACGAGCTATTCCGGATGCATTGGAATGCCCTAGCAGACAATTCTTAGGCACTAGATTCTTCAGAACACACAAGCCCACTGCCGCTATTTTCGCAAGTGGTACAATCTACTGTGAAGTTGCATTGACCAACATGCTAACTGGCATTTCCTTGAATGGGGAGCTAAACACATGCATGTACATAGCTTTGCAGCATACCACTCGTATAGTATTCCTATAGCTCTGCTCATCCTGACAGAGTCTGTGCGTGATTTTTTTTCAAGTGGCTCATTATCTGCGTATTTGGATATTTGTGGACATAATGCAGCAAGTGGTGCACAATAAATACTCACGCCACTACCTTGCATTTCCTCCATGCTTTATTGCTTATACATTTTGATCAAAAGTTGTGATAAAAAGCAGCTTACAACTTTAGCCATGCAGCACTGACACTACACATAGGAACACATTTGACAAAATACTTTATCACCAGGAGTGTGTGTTTTAGGATACAAATCACAATACTTTGTCCACAACCCCGCAATTATGCTGTCATTGAGTCTGCCATGCTTTCGCTACAGTGCAGCTGCCCATGTCTCCATGCAGCTCGTGGGCTTGGTACGGATTGTACATGTTGAGCATCAGAGTGATATGACGTATAGGTGTGGGACACATCCTTGAGATTTACAAACAATGCTTATGTTATGTCTACCACCACAAAACACAGTTTGACTTCAGTAAGTATAGTAAATGTTCTGTGTAACAAAAAAGGAGCTTGCAGCTCTCCACAGTCTCCTAACGTACACACAGTGGTGGTGACATTAAAATATGTATACTTATTCTACAAGCCACCCATCTCATGCACTTGCGACTTCATTTTACATGACTGGCAGTAGTACAAGTTATCTAGGACATGCTGGTCCTGCTCACATGAAGGCTGCTGCACTAGTGACCATTGTTACTTGAACGCCATTCCTTCATTATTCCATTCATGGTAGACTGCATGTCAGGAACATAGGTGCGTCATTATACTAATGCCCAGGCATACCACTTGTCAATACATTTTTGTTTTCGACATATTCCCCACGTGAAAAGCTCTACTTTTGCATCATGAAACGCTTGTGCCCCTCAGCTGCTATGCAGTCTGCAAGCTATGGGCCAAGAAACATATCTCAGGAAACTTTCATATGTTATGGAAACTCTTGAAAGGACCAACTTCACTTCACCAACTTTGTACATGCACAGTTGGCACTCTAATCCAGCAATGAGATGTTTCAGCAGGCAACAATGTACTCCGACCAGCAGGCAACATTTGTTTTCACTTTTCCTCTTAAGAACAATGAACATGCCAGCTCTGAAATAGCTCAAAGAATATTCAGCCCAGCTTCCAAATGTCCTATAGTGCCTTAGAAAAAAAACATGAAACCTGTGTCATTTCAGTACAGTAAAATGTTTTGTACTGTACTCCCAGTTCGGCAGCTATAACCGGCTTAGCTAATATCGGTTGCGCGCTTTCGGTTACCACACTAGTGAACCTTTGCTGCTGACATTAAGCACATGCTGTGCAACTTAGGCATTTTCAAATTACCCAATCTTTTATTCAATGTATTGATGCATTAAAGCTTCAACAAAAGCTCTCATTACTAAGTGAAAGTACTGAAGTTGCTTGACGCTGTCATATTTTCAGTCATTTGGAATGCACTCGATACACTTGTGTTGCTGCAATAATTTGGCAATAAAAACACGGCAGATGTACACAGACCATGCCAGGTGTACTGTGTCTTAAGTGCACGCAGACCTTTCTCAGTCGCTCTTTGCCTTTTAGGAAAAACATATGAAGGAACACAATACTCTCGCAGATAACATGGTGTGACACAGCAATAAGGTAAATAAGATGCTACATTATATATACTTTAATTAATGCATTTTGAGCAACATTTTTAATGTTGCAAGAAAAGAACTATATAAGAAACAACAAGTGCAGACAAAATAAAACCAAGACAGTCCGTCCTAGACATTGTCTGAAAAATAGCTTGCTCCCACATTACAGTCACAAAAGTGTGACTTTACGAGCTTTTCATTGCAAAATGCCCAGAAAATATATATCTTTTGTCACTGCAAGCATCCATTACCGTGAGCCCAACCACAGTCAAAGAGCTGTTGTGTAAGACGCAACACATGTGTATATGGTAAATCCAGGAGGTATAAAAATGTATAAGTGTATAAATGCACTGTAAACTGCATCCAAACTTGTCTCTCACACGTGCACCTGCACAACAATATGTGTTGGCAGTAATAGTAAAATTCAGGAATGCTTTGATTTTAAGTAGGGTAGACTGGCATCTCCACACCTATGAAATGCGCTTCTCTAGAATGCCCAGCACATCGGCGCAGCCTTTTATTGCATCCTGCCGATACTGTTCAATTTCTTTCATGACCTGAAATGTAAAGCGAAGAGCTTTAGCGTAAAGTTATTTTCTCACACAACACGCTATCAAATGAGGGGACTTCACTGCAAAAGTGTCCAGCTCAAAAGAAAGTCACCTCTGCTACTTTCATAATTCACTAGGACATAGTTACAGCTAGAATTATCGAGTTAAAAATTCAGCAGATCCCATGTAACTGGAAATCGACGTTATGCGAAGCATGCGGAGGGAAGGTGACCGTGTTGCAATTTTTTTACTGAGCGACACGTCATAAAATCACGCTAATATATGTACAAATGTTACATGCACAGACAGTATCTTCGAAGAGTTGCAGATGTTTACATAATCAGTTGTTTGCCCTTGCGCGACCATGCCAATTGGAACATGCTACCAACACCAAAAGCTGATATGAAGCGCTGATGCTCTCGAGGATGCTGGCCCTGGACACTGCTACATAAATCAACTTGAGCACATAACAACTAACCACAATTGAAGTTAACCCGACGTGACAGCTGTATCAAAAGAGTACATATGTAATGTTTAGAAAATCGGGTAGGCACCACTGCAACCACTACTGACATTTCCCGAAGATTAGCATCTATTTGAAAAGAAGTTTCGAGACATGGCGTAGCTCTGTGGTAAGATGCTTCAATGCCACACAGAATGCTTGGGTTCGATTCCAGCTGGGACCCTGGCATTTATTCTTTGCATTCATAGGGTCGACTCTACCGATGTCAGGTATTTCTTAACATTCGCTGCGTTAAAATTGCCCTTGTGTGTTCTCGTCGTTTCTGGGTATACATACTAAGTGTCAATCACCTGTGGCACATACCCACATAGCAGTGGCACATACCCGCCCGTGGGTATGTGCCACCATCTGGCAGAAAGTGTTTGACGATGTATGCGACAAAATTGTGACATTATTCATGTCTTGACTAGCGCGTCACGTTCGTCAAACCATCTTACCCTCCCATGCTAATTTTGGCTCACGCCAACTTAAGGTGGTGCCCACGAGAGCATCCAAACATAAGCGGCTAGATAGATAGATACGCTCAAAGTCGCCGAAGTTCGCTAAGAAATTCTTCGAATTTAAAGAAAACATTGGAGGATGCTTGAGCTTTGCCTTCAAGAGTAGATTGCGATAGCATGATTGGGCCTTATGCGCATGCATCGCCTTCTGAACTGCTACCCTGCTTTGGTTATCAGACCAAGCTTTAATCATCATGCCAGAAGGAAACTAACGACTGCCTGTTGCTAGCACTGTTGTTAAGAGCCCAATAGGTCATAATCATTCTATTTTCGAATCTGCGAAGGGCCCCCTCTTCATCTGAAGGGCAGCACGCAAACCTACGCAGCTGTTCACTGCGTTGATGGTTCTGCTGCTGTCTGGGCGCTTTGTAACAGGTGAGCTTTTGAAACACCCACTCATTGCTCAATTCACATTGTTTCACGCTTGGTGCGATTCTACACTTCTTTCACATCATATCTGATGCGTTAAGGAGACTCCTTCCACTGCATGACATTCATATGCAGTTTAACCTCTTTATAAGAGGCACTGATATAAGAGACAAATGTGTATAAGAGCCAACAGTGTGCCTACAGTAAAATACGGAATGATAGGAAAATGCGTACGAGGTCCCCTGCTTATAAGAGACATCTCATATAAAAGACAAGAATTGCTGCCCGGAGCATGCCTCTTATAAAGGGGTTTAACTGTAGTGTTTTTTTTTGTTTTCAACGATATTTCAACAAATATTGGGGCCCTATGGTAAAATGCCTGCTAGCCTCGTTGAGGGCCCTGGGTTTGATGGTCACTGAGACCCAAAAATTTTTATTATTCATTTTATGTGCATATTTCTCAATTTTCCAGTAGCGGACAAGTTTTTCGTTCGCGACCAACGACGCCAACAGCATAAGTTTTGCGAAATGAGCTCTTTAAAGCTATCACATTAAAAGGTGGCAGCATCTTTCAATATGAAAGCTTCTAACGTTGTACATTATTGTAAGGAGGTGCTGTTCCTAAGCAAATGGTGGTTCAGACTTGCTTTTTGCTTCGCATTGCGTTGCCTTACTAAAGAAGTATCAGTAACAACTTTGCACCGTATCTTCATTTGGTCTTAAATAGAAACACTGACAGGCTGACCGAAGCAAGTTTAGAGCTTTTTAGTATTTTAATTTTTTGCAATGCCTGCTGGAAGTCAAAAGCCATAAAGAGGCCATGCAACAGCTTTTCGGCCTGGTCCGAAAATGCTGCCACTTTGCATCTAACGAGTGGCAAAGGTGCATATATGTACGAATAACATACCTCGTCCCTGTATACCTCATCTTGCAGGCCTTGACAGTTCAGAATGACGTTCCAGTAGGCTCCAAACACCCCAGTTTCTAGGCAGCGCGCCCCAACCTGAAATTAGAAGTGGCAGGGCTTGTTATGCTATTAGATATTGATGTTTGCTATCTGTATATTATTGCGCAGCATCTTATCGGAAATATCTTGAAATTTCTTCAAACTGTTTCTTTTTTTCGCTCAGCACCAAAAAAAAGAAAAAAAGAAAGAATCGAGAAGCTAACATTGTAGAGAAAGAAAGCTCGAGTTATGCAAAGTAATAAATAAAATACTGCCGTATTAAACTATAATCAATACAAAATATATGCTGGAAAAATGAATTTATTTGAATTTGTCTGACTGCATGATGCCTATCATATTTACTTACGTGTAATCAGCGCTGGCTAGTGTTGATTGGCCAACTGATGGTTAAAGTTGGCTAAATGCAAAGTTAAAAGTGGTGTTCTTGAAGAATACTTAATCGGCCATGACTGGCCTAATAGTCATTCCTATTTAGTGTCCCTTAATTCTAACAGGCTGCCTCTTTTCGTTTCTTGTTCTTCCTGCTACGAACACTGGGTCAAGTTACGGCAACCCTCTGTGCATGCCTATGACTACTCAACTGCTGCAGACTAGTCCTACTAGTACGCCTACGCCCACCAGTAGCATAGTGTCACGTGGCCGTGACATAGACGAAGGCTGAAGGTCGGCAACTCCCGAGATGAAACTCTTATTTGGCCAAACTTGTAGCCAGGAAATTGAAACTAAAACTATGGCAATACACACTGTAGGATGATAGTAGTTCGGGAGGGGCATTTGCCTGGTGTGCCATTCCTTACTTTGCCAATGACTCCTACTGCTACTACTATATACATAGCTACTTGCAGTGCCCACTTATTTGTTTAGCTGACCACGAACTTGACTGACACCGGAGAACAGCTGCGCAAAGTTTACAAGTCGCTCATCGCCCACCATGCTACCACATCGAGAAGGTGACTCGCCTGCAAGTCTGCTCTTGCGCCGATGTTGATGATGGAGGCCAGTTCCCTGGCAGTGTCCCACAGCTTGCTGACAGACCGAGCCACGCCCAGCGGGACGGCAATTGCCTTCTTTAGGCCAGCCTGCATTGCAGCCTCACGGCTACGGGTGACACTCGCTTAATTTCCAGCCCCGAGTTCACGTGTGATTTGAATTAAGAAGTGAACTTAGCACAGACGGGGCACTCACACTTCTTCCTCTTCATGGGTGTTCTTGGGCAACTTGTGAGCAGCCTGCAGGGCAACATAACAAAGCATCACCCGACAGACATTAGCTGTGATGGCAAGACAAGTGCCGACACTGTCGAATGAGATTCTGTAAGAGTTTACATTGCCAGTGAGGCTTGAATCAAAAAATTTTTTACTTTATGATCAATCACAGGCCAGTGCACTTTTAAAACTCGTTCCAATAGCTGTGCTATGTCACGAGCTGCAACATGCTCATCTCCAGGACTGTGTTGGTCCTACACAGTTTTTAAAAAAGTAACATTGCAGATAAAGTTGTATTTAGCACTCACTCCGGCAATAATTAAGAAAGCTGTAGTTATGTTACAACTCGTTATTATACTCACAAATATTGTGCCAAATGAGTACGCTGCTTCTGCCAGGTCACTAAAATAAAGCAGCAGTGGGTTTTGTAATTCACTGGCTCTTTCTATCACTCACAGTTAGCAATGCACTTATTCTAGCTAATGACCTTAGAGACAATTTAGCAAAATAAGTGCACTAGTATATTAAGTCTAGCATGGCAGTTTATTCAGTAAAGAAAATTAAAGCATTCTAAATTTACCACCAGTGATAGTCTTGTTTCACTGAATGCAAAATGTAGAGCTCTAAGTTATCAACACTACAATGACCAAGACAACAGTATTTAATAATCTTACCAGCGAAACACTGTTTCTTATGCTCATTTTGATTATATCAAACTGCATATGGCAAGCTGTCATTATGAAAACTGAGAATGTGAAAGCACAGAAGCGGGTTCAGGGTGGTGCAACTGAGTGAAGTATGGAAGAAGTCGATGACATCACCATGTAGTCGTTGAACGCCCCCGTGTCAGCGTCTACCATGGGCAGCAGTTCATCCATGGTGTGATGCATTATGGGAATGAGTCGACGCATCTGGTCATCGTAGCGCTCCCACTGACGCTTGCCATAGGTCATCTTGCCTACCATGGCTCCCAGAGCAGCACCCTGTCATACAAAACAGCACACGTGGTGAGTGCAATTACATTAGCTCTGGGATAGTTAACCCCGAGCCAGATGAACCAAAGCAACGCTAGAGTAACGCCAGATGAACCACCCTTTAATATGCATACAAAGCAACTGTGCACATGGGCATGCATAGGGGTATCCCTTCAGTGGCGAGGGGGAGGTTCGTCGCAGCTCCCTCCCTCTCTATTATGGCAATGTATGGGGCTGACTTTTCAACCCCTACTCCAAATTTCAGCACCCCCCTCCCTATTAAGTTAATGTATAGGGCTGACTTTGCTACACCGCCATCTTAGATGACTAGGGGGAAGGCCACCTAACACCAATGTGACCACCTACACTAACTTTGCAGCTTTTACCATTAACTGCACAAACCACTTTGACAGGAGTGTCACTTATCCAACGCACCTAACACAGTCAGTTAAGCACTATAGCTTTCACCATTGCGACCTGATGTCACGTTTTTCTCAAACAATATAACGAATAATGACAATTACGAGATCAAGCACTGTGCTGGGTAAAAATGAGCAGCCGAAGAAACATCCCGATGCTCCCACATTTAATTAACATATATACCCAATAAAGTGGATAGGGGGATAGCCGCCATGGCAGCTCAGTTGGTAAAGCATCAGATGCGTTATTCGAAGGTTGCAGGTTTGGTTCCTTCCCAAGGCAACTTATCTTTTCGTCCACTTTTCTTCAAATTTACATTGCAATTACCTCATGTAACATCCCCTATACTTTCCTTGGCATGATTGTCTGTTAGATCTCATTAATATTGTGTCTAACAAAAAAAACTAGCCCTTAATTGTAAACTTCTTTCCTTCAAAAAAGGTAATGATGAAATATACAGCCAGTCAAACTGTGCCAGTGAATTGAGCTTTTTATTCACTGACAGCATTGTAGACATGAGCACTGACAACAATGCTGCAACTATGATATAACACTGCAACACTGATGAGATAGACGACACAGCAGACTGGAGGCAAGTAAATAACACTAGTGTCCTCGTATGCTCTGTACTCTTTATCTGATGACTGACTGCCAAGGCACTAACTCGAAACATCATGATCAGCAGCTGAAAACCACATCTAAAAACTAATAATTACATGTAAGCTGATAATCACGAGAAGATTTCAGAGAAGTACTCAATTGGTATGATCAAAAGGAACATGGAGGAAACACCATTGAAATTGTTGCCCATTTGCTGCCTTTTTACGAGTGCTGCCCTTCTTGCAGATATCCATCTTTTAAGCCCATTCAGATTCTGCCTGCGCAGATAATACCACCTCTGGCAAGCTACAGCTTAAAAAGGAAGCTAATAAAGAAAAAAAATCAATTCTCCAGAATTAGTAAATTACCTCTTCACAATACTGATTCACCGCTCAGTCTGCGAAAAAGAAGCTTGGCAAATACAAAACGTGCCAAATGAAATGCAGTTGGTGACACAGCTGTCCTGAAGTTCCTGCACCGTTTTGCTGTAATGTCAATGATTTTAACTGCAATTTCCAAGACCAACATAATTCTTTATCAGCAAAAGTTAATTAAATTACGCTCTCGTAAAGCCAGAGACTTAAAGAAACTGTCTACTGTTCAAAAAAAGAGTTCTTTTTAATTTTTGTGGAAACGGAAGATTGCTTGTCATATCAGTGGCAACGAGCGTGCTCTTGTCCAATAAAAAAGGAATTATATCTTTAATTTGGCTCTGAATGTCGTAAAAGTATCACCGCTAGCGTCACTTAACAACATGACCAAGAAACCGAGCAAGTAGGCTTATTTCACTTGAAAACAAATACTATGTAACATTTAAAATTGCATATTATGCACTTTTGGTAGTTTTCCAAGGTGTTAAAGAGTACTTTTAGCGTGTTTTTTTTTCCTCATGTGTTGAAAGAAGCACTTAGTTGTGTTACTGACGCCACGTTCACCTGCCTGTCTACCGTGTAAAAATGTGTGTGCAGCATCTAGCATCGCTCGGAAGAAGATGTTTAATAAAACATCTAAACACAACTGAACAGGTTCTGCTCTTCTGTGGAGCACGTCTCATGTTCATTCAGTTGCATGTTTGGCATCAATAGAACCACTACACTTTGTTTCACAACACTGACGTACCAGTGTTGCTGCAGTACACCAACACCAACACTGCCCCTTGATTGCGGTGATTTTTCAGGCTAACTAAACAAAGCGTTAAAGAATGCAGTAATAATACATTATCTGACACTTTGCGAGCTCTGAACTATTTAAGTACTTGTTTTATCATTAAGCAAAAGCTCATTCAGCTGACCAAATCTGCATGTGGTTCTAGATTTCGACGTTCACCAGCACAACCATTGTCATTGCTTGCTAAAAACAGTGTTTTGGGTGTATTCCTTCCAATAAAAAATGACAGAACATACATAGAAAATTTTCATTAAAAAGATTTCTGCTTGCTTTCCAGGGAAACCGCTGCACAGTTGGACACTCAAGACAGTGCTCTTTCTATTTCTACACAAAACAGGAAAACAATAAAGTACGGTAGGCAGTCCCTCTGACTTGGCAAGTTTCACAAATTTTTATCGAGCCAACACGACCACAATGAACAGAAAACACTTTGAAATCAGAGACATTATACCGTCATTGAGTCGGAGGAGTACCGATTATGAGATACATACGAGAGAAGCTACTGCAGCAGCAACGGAACCACCGCCTGGTGTGGGTGTCCTGGCTCCGACAACGTGAATGAATTGGCACAAGGTTTTCTGTGCCAGCGGGCCCAGTCTGTCATCAGGCAGCATGTATTCGATGATGCGCTCCGATGGATCAAATGGGCCGAGTGAGTTGAGACCAAGCCTGTTGATGGCCTGCGCAAAGATACAGAATGTACAGCTGGTCCAAAGAGCCACATCTGTTTCAGCAACAGAAGAACGCAGTAATTGTTGCTGTTAACAATGTCTAAACTGCATAATCAGATCATATTTCACACTGCCAATAACAAATGACTGGTAGAAAAAAAAAAGAACAATGTGTAAAAGAGGCAAGTAGCATGCATAGCATGCTAGTCGGTCTATTCCTCTCTCCACGCATGTGTTTAATAGCTTCAGTTTTAATCAAAGCTCTGCACAAAACACATGTTTCATGTGATTCAGTGTGTCACTGTAGCCACCACATTTGTGTTAGCATGATAAAACACATTATAATTACACCTGTTAATAACATCAGGCAGTCAGAGTTGCTAAGGTGTCAGGATTGGTCACAAATATGTTTGGCTGGCCTATATACTTGTCTGCAAGCTGTGCATACATCTTAAGCTATGTTGTCCAAACACATTTCTATGTGAATGATGTCTTAGCAAGCATATATGAATCTTCGTAGCTTTCATTTCAATTTCATTCTCTTACTTAGACAGGTTAGACATCTTATGAAATGGCTACGAGCTCAATTAAATTAATTGCAAGAAAATTAAGTCAGCAAGCTAATGTCAAGGATGATTATGTCAAGATTCTTGTGAAATAGATGTGGTCTGGTAATTAAACCAATAAAAGCCAAAAGGGCAGTCACAATTGATTAAAATGCAAAGAAAGATGTGTAATGAGGTGAATTTTGTAGAAGGTTTTCATGACACTTAATTGCAATGATGTCAAGTTAACTTGCTTGTGAGTGAGTGTTCAATGTTTCACATACACACTTTTGTATGCACAGGCATAGCCAATAAGGGTTCAACACTTCCCTACCCCTCTCACAAAATTTTCAGTTTAACATTTATAAAGAATGTCTGGTTATGCTCCTGTGTGTTGTATACATGTATGTGTTGCTATGATTAGGTTACAGAGGTAGATGCTCACCAGGTGGACTTTCTGGTCCTCTTCAAGAACAAAAAGGTTTTCCTTTTTCATGTAAAATTCAGCTGCCGCCAATATGGCCTTGAGAGGAACGACGCCCACTATCTGGGAGCCTGTGACTGCTAGTTTTAATGATCTTGCAATTCTTGAAATCTGAAAACAGTACAAAGAGTTTGTGATACATAACAATTCACAGAAGAACAATCCTCATAGACACGACCTTCTAAATAGCTGTCTCTTTTCATTAAGTTTTTTAATGAACTACTGAACATTGCACTAAATTGCAAGTGAAAGAGTCTCATTCTCTCAGTATTGATTCTAAAGAATAGCACTGTTCCAAGAGGTTGGTGGTTTTAAGGTTAGACGTTATAAAATGAACGTTGTTCATTTCACAATGGCACATTTGGTAATTGCATTACGGTGGTTGAGTGCTACTGTACACAACTCATTATTATTTTACATGCTAATGCCTGAAATTTTTCACATGATAACACTGGATAACATGTGAATACTCCAAGCAAAAGGTACACAATCTACAAACAAGAACTCGAATGGAACATGTATGTTGTGTGTTATGATATGACTTGAGTTAAAATTACTGAAAAATGTAACACACGTTCTTACCTCCTCATACACGACATGAACTGGTGTGATGTCATGGTCCAAGACATTCACCGACACTTGTGCAATGTTATTTTCTTCGAGCCACCAGCCTACAGCCTGTGTGCTCTTGAGGAGACCCGGCTGCAACGAGAAGTGGTGCATTGGTCAACATCAGTGAAGAAGGTAGGAACAAATTTTCCGTGTTTCGAGAGCTGTAACATTACCAGGTGGTTTTCATGACACTTACATGCAATGTCATAAAGTTCATGCAATTGTGCAGTGTCTAAATCCTTGCTAATTTCTGTTTTAAAAAGACCCAAACCTCAGAGCACTGGCAGTACAGTTGCCCTATTCCTACATTAGCAACTCTTACAGTTTTCCTAGTTTCCTGTGAAGATTTACACAGATCCCGTAGATGATGGGACCTGCATGCATGCGGTATCCATATTACCACACCTATTTAACAACATAGCTGCTTAAGCCAACCAGGTGCCATAAACTTGCATTTACCAGTCAGTACATACTGCCGCTTCTCACAAATCATCAAGACCAAGTAAGCTCCACAAATGGTAACAAGGCTATACATTTGGCTGGTTAGTTATTTATGACACTAAGGGAAAAGCGTGAAAACTAAAGGTGGTTGAAGAACAGACCGAGGCGGGAGCTATTGGTTTTTGATTCAGAGATATGTCATATATACACAAACATGAACGCAGGAAATGGAGAAGCACGGACTAAAGATGACCACTGCCTAAAAAACAGTGATGGGAGCTTGCCAAATCACAAATTACATTAGTGTGCACCTTGCCATGCATCCCAGAAAGCGCAACTCTTCTTGGAGAGGTTAATAAAAGCTTTACCTGGCACCAGCTCCTAATGATCCTGCTATGTTTACTGGTGCACCGCCAATAACCATAATATAATGGGGGATACAGCGGCACTCCAAACAACACAACAGAAAAATATAGCTTGTCCACAAAGTACTGCAAAAGAACAGTGCTTGTTTTTGTCTGTTCTTTGTCCACATCCAGTCTGTATACTATTGCAGTATCAATTTCACAAACAAAGCTATGCTTTCACACTAGTATAATCTAATTAATTTGAACAGTATTACTTTCAGTTTACTCAAACTGATGCTGCGGCCACAGCAAAGTTATGTGTATATTCCAATGGCCGAAACACCGAGTAATTAAAGTGCACAAGCATCTGTGATGGTTAATTTGAACATGCCACGCACCAAAAATGTCTCGAATCGCATAGCAGTACTTATGACCAGGGTCTTTTCGAGCCTGCTACAGAGAGAAAGCACGAAAGACTCCCTCTTACCACACCTCCTCCCCCTCTTGGTTTGGAACTCGTTAGCAAGGTTCAAGCCATATTCATCAATTTTTTGCTGGATAGACGTGTGGAGAGGAGCATAAATGGCTACGTTTCTCAATGATGTGTATGGTGTAGTTTGAAGCAGAAATATACGCAAATAAACCTTTGCGTACTTCCCATTCGCTCATAGTGCATGTGCCATTGTAGGTCTTCAATACAGCAAGCTTCTCCGACTCCAACTTCTCTTAATTTGAACAAGTTTTCGGGCCTTTCTGAATTTGAATTATCAAGACTCAGCTGTATTTGTCAGCAGATACTAGTTGATGATATTCTTACCTGTCCTTTTCCCCTTCCTTCCTCTCTTATGTCAAGGGCAATGCGGTGTGCCTGCTCCTTGGTAGAGAGGATGTTGATGTTGTATGCGATGAGGAACTTACGAGCACCTGACATGGTGGCTCCCCATCGTGGCACAAACTCTGACGGTCCATAGTCGGGTCTCCATTCAGGCTTTAGGATCTAAGCAGGCATAAAAATGTGCACTGGCTGCAATCTACACATAGATGGTGCCTTGTTTTTTGTTACTGAATGACTCTCAAATAACTTGCATCTTTAAAGCAGCAGAGTGATGAACAAGGACAAACAAATTTTACTAGAATACACCAGGTTTTTCAAGTGGAAAATATTTGACAAGTCGTGTCTGATTTGAATGCCCAAAAGCTACGTCCAAAATAGTGAAGTGCATCAAGACATGAGATGTGAAGACATACTATGTTTGTATTTCACCTTCATATATGAAAACCTGTCTGAAAGCAGTGATATCCAATCGAACAGCTTAACGGACTTTATCTCAATAAAGTATATGTCTGTGCCTGGTTATAGGTATAGCTGTCAAGTTTATAACTGAAGCATACTTGCTCAAGGAGCGCTTTGGCATTTTTTGTTGCTCTTTACGACTTTGATATATCATCGCATACAAAAAAATTATAGAGTCGCCCTTGGCCTTATGTTGTAAAGAGTGACATGACCGTCTGTGGTCATGTCACTCAACAACAAATGGGCTTTACAAAGCACGCTGTACATATGAAAGTGCCACTTTTCCTAGTCAAGTGTTCAAGGAAAGCTTCAGTGACCATCCTCATATATTTCTTTTTAGATTGTGTTCTTGCCAATGGCAAATCGTATGACAAGTCACTGTTTGTGCAAGTTGGAATAGTTAGCAACATCTGTATCCACTGTGCTACAAAAATGCCTATTACCTTGTCACACAGCCCTTCATATTCTCCTGAACGAATTTGTGGCACACTACGTCTATAGTCCTGCTGTGCCGCAAAGCCGTAGAGGTAAACTGCGAGGAAAAATGGGGCAGTCAGAGAAGTCGCTGATCAGTGCAAGGCAGTTGTAAGAAACAACTTGCTTGAGTGGTACGTACCGGGCACGTTCAACTCTGCTGAAAGCTTCTCTCCAAACTTTCTGGCACAATAGACACATTCCTCCATCTCGACACCTTGAACGGGGATGAATGGGCAGACATCCAGGGCCCCAAGCCTGGCATGCTCTCCTAGAAGTACAGCACAATAAAGATCAGCTATTAACTTGCAACATATAACCTAAGGTAATTAATCCAAAGTAAACTAAAGGTTTACTGCAGCTTCAAGAACATTGACTGAATTCATTATGAATGATTAGTATATATGACAAGAAATCTTTGCAAGACCGCAGGGCCTCAGCCTCTAAACAGAACTTGTCTTCATGACTGCCTTGAATTCCCTGTGATGTAGGGTCTAGGCACGCAGCCTCCGAAATGTTTAATCGTTCCAGACATCACCCAGAGGTGCAGCACGTTTCCTTGTGCTGTAATTGCCACGTGTCACTCGTGGTGAGACAATATGGTGAAATTTCTTCTTTTTTTTTTCTTTTTGATATAAAACATTTCTCTCTTTTCAAGCTTTTACGCTGTTCCATATGTACATCACAAGTACTTTTTTTTCTTTGAGTGCCCCCTATATGTAAGCTATGTGAAATTATAATGTTTACGTAGCCTATAAGATATTGTTGCTGCTGGCTTTATTAAAGTGTATGTACTTTGGCTCACAAAACCTGATACTAGCTTTACAGCAGCTCTAATTTATTTATGTTGTGCACAACTAATGATTAAGTGAAAAAAAATTATGGGAATTCTTTTTTTCTTGACAAATAACAGTTTAATGTGTACTCAATCACGATGGAAATGCAAGGTATAGATATGATTATAAAATATTCGTACACGTGCAGATTTGTTACATAAAAACAAGGAACCTCAATCACAATGAAAAACTGGTCCTGTTGACCAGTCGTCAGTTATACTGGAGAGCACTACAACTGATTGCCAATGCACATAATGTTGCACAAATGAAGCCTCAATTATCATAAGAAAAACTAATTACAATATATATGGCTAACGAACAGCTCATGTGAGAAAGCCAGCTTACAGAAATCTTTGCTAGGAATATTCCCATGCTTGATTTTCAGGACACTTGTAGCATGACAATTGAATCTCGTTTATTTCTTTACAAGACACTTATGCCACTTATTACAGTTTTCCTGGCAAGGTAAATTCAATCATTAACTCAGCATATTTATCTATAAAGGTAGTCTACAGAAGTAAATACGTGCACATCTCTGTCGCCTTACCTTTGTGCTTTGTCATGTCAATACGTTTGTAGGCAACCCTGGCAGCATTGAGTGCTCCCTGGATTACTGCATCGGGTGAGCCCACAAAGGTGTACACAGTTCGGTTGGTTGAAGAGCCTGGATCAACACCCAGCAGAGATACGCCTTGTGTTGTCTTAATGGCTTTTGCAATTCTCATCAATAACCTGAAAAAAATTTCACAACAGGAGCGAAAGAGTTAGTTAGTGGCTATCGCTTTATAGGACTAAGCCCTCAATTAAGGCACACAGGCATGAAAAATAATAAAAGGCACTAAATCTCACTTCGAAGACGAGTCTTGAGTGTGAATTTGCTACATTTGTCTATTCTCTATGCTGAGACATTTGCCATTATGGTGTCAGTTATGGTGACCAGGCCAACTTCTCATTAGCATGCAGCTTCACGTCGCATAACAAAGAACTACATTTCTCCCATTATGTGAAGCAGGGACGTGATACGTGACAGCTGGCACAATATTACACATACGCGAGGTCTTGCACTGTTCCTGTTCAGCGTGGAAATTTTCAAATGAGTGCAAGCAATATTTTTTTAGAGTGAAGCAACCTTCACTGTTTACCGATTCTAGTCTATTTCGCCTGCATTCATATAAGTGTTACTCCTGTGTTAGAGTAGATTTACATGGCTTTGCCTGCCTTTCCTTTTTCTATGCATGTATAAGGCAACATGCGCTCAGAGTACAAAGCGCCCATGAATTTTTCTTTTGTCCACTCTGTTACTGCTGTATTGTACCGCCTTCTTTTTCTTTTTTTTACAATGTTTCTTCCTCTTTTCACTGTTTTTTTCCTCTTCATGCATGGCATCATGCAGCAAAATGCAGCATTTTGCAGAGCTCACAAGGCTAGCTATACTGGTCATCATTGTCTTTGGCTGTTCCCGCAGGACTTGGCCTATATATACCACGGGTTCTCAAACTGGGTTCTGCGGAAACCAATGCTTTCATGAAGGACACCTTAAGGTACCGCAAGCAGCTAAAATGAGTGCAACCCACAGCGATTTTCTATACATATATGTATTATCTGCACCCAGAGTCTATCATATTATTGAGAATTCTACATTAACGGTGATGGCCTTTGACATGAAAGAAATGAGAACAGGCCAACACAGCCAGTTTTAATACTGGCATCTGCATACATTATCGCTCATTAAGCGACGTTATAGCCTACCGCCTCTTCCCCCCCCCCTTCTCTTTCCCAATTTTTTACTATCTTCATGCTCAAGAAAGTAAGAGCTAGGGCTTCTGCAACAGTCTTGAAAAGCTGTTGGGGCTTCCCGAGGCCAGAAAGTGGATTCGCGTGAAAGTGAAGCCATGGTGGCTCTGTGGCTAAGGTGTTAGGCTGCTGAACCGAAGGTTGCAGGTTCGATCCCTGCCGTGGCGCTCACATTTCGACGGAGAAGAGATAGTAGAGGCCCGTGTACTGTGCGATGTCAGTGCACATATTAAAGAACACCAGATTGTTTAAATATATAGAGCCCTCCACTACAGTGTCTCTTAAAATTATATTATGATTTTGGGACATAAAACTTCACCTACTAAAAAAAAAGAGAGAGAGAACCCCAGTCTATAAATTTGCAGAAGCCTCCCAGGTGAAAACGTGTAGCTGGGTATCCAACTGGTATCAAGTGGTCCCGGTTAGGAACTAACTGGTCCCATTTGATTGTAGTTGCAACTGGCTCCAGTTGGCAAATGGTACCAGTTACAACTTAACTGGTCCCAGCTGGGAACTAACTGGTCCCAGTTAGCAGTTGGTACTTGCATAATCAGATATCCTACTTAACATCCTCCTAGCACAAACTCATTCCAGGAGTTGAGTATTGCTAATTTCTGTATTCTAGATGTTTGGCTTTTTCAAAAGAATTGCTTCATCCCCATGAATGCACTGTTTCTCAATTAATTTACCGCTTCATCAGAATAATTATCCCTAGCAATGCAGGTGGTAGTTGCAAAAGAACATCTATTTACGAAGCTAAACATATTCTTTTAATTTTTCCATGCTGATATTGTTTCTCTGCTGTAAGTGAGCTGGTACACTGAAAGTGTGTTGTTTTAAACCTCGCTACTCTCTACCTGCACAATATATATGCCAGTAGTTCTTCGCGTATATATATATATATATATATAATCATTGATCATGTGACTGCTTTGCTGATATCACGGAGGAAGGCTGATATTAAGGGAAGTACCAACTGTTTCATTTCTTTTCATGTGAGTATAGTACGACTATTACAATTTATGAAAGGCGGAAAGCTGCTACACTAAGTTTCCTCTGTTGTGATATAGAAACTTAATTCAGTGACTGCTATTCCTCAAGAGATCGTTCGGCCGGCCCTGTTATTTCTTCTTTTAAATGCCAACGTCTTTCCTGCTCCAAATTTATAAAACGTACGTTGTGATTTATACGGTTTGATTTACAAGACGTACGTTGTAAATCGACCTATGTAAATTTAGGCAGAGCAATATTACATAACAAACGAGCACGAATGTTACGGCGTTGCAAAATTAGGCGTCACGCACGTGAAAAACAAAACCTGACCCAGCCTGGAGCAATCTAATCGACTCTCAGGTGAATTTCGAAAAGCCGCGGTTTCGATCAGGTAGGGTTTAGGCGAAAGTGTGCATCTAAACCGCACCTGCGCACAAATATTTATACGCGCAAGCGTCGAGCGCTCTTCAAGAACTGTAGTCGCGCGAAAAGGTGGCGAGTTTGTTTAATCAAGCATCCTGTGTATGCAAAATCCTCTAGCCGACTCGGCTTGCACGGGCATCAGATGCGTAAACGCGACTGAAACCGCGAAAGCATATTTGGAAGGAAGCACCTACCTCTTGATCCTGGCCCTCAGAAAAGTTGGGCACGCATTCCACTATCTTCGTACGCATGTTGAAGTCCAAAACGGAAGCAATGCAAGGTGTTTGGCGGCTGAAAGGCCTGCTACATACAGAAGTGGCCGTAATGCTTATCGTCTGCTAGTGAACCCTGTCAGAGGCAGCATCGGAGGCGCCGCCTGTGTGTGTTGTAACACGCGACCGCACCAGACCGCACACGACTCTTCAAGCGATAGCAGCGCCATCCATACAACGGCGCTGTAAATCAACCTGTAGCTCTCCTTTTGTTTCTTTAGTCGCTCTAGTCCTTGTTCCTTAGTTCAAAATGGCATGGGCGCGACAGGCAAATAGCATGCTCTCCAGTCAGGTGTCGTGCGGGGCTCAACCCATGCAATGACGAAAGTCGTACGGGTGTGGCACGCACTTTCACTTCGCGATCAGCCCCGATCAGGATTGAATTTCTGGACCGCGAGTAGCCTCCGCTCGCATCTTGCCAGAAATTCGATACCGATCGGCCTCGGATTGCGAGCCAAAAGCCTACAAGCGCATCGCCGCAAGCATGCCTTTTATTTATTCTTTTTGTCTTGCTTTAGCTGGGCTGCTTTCGAGTCTTTTGAACAATGCTAACAATGCCGAAAGTTGTGCCCAAACATACGCACGTTTGAAGCGCATGTTTCTTTCTAGTAACTGTGACGCTGGGCGCCTCCCGAAAGCCATTAGCTAATTGTGGGTGATGATAACGCTGTCGCCAGCCGGCGCCTAAGTTCTTATCAGCTCATGAATGTTCCTTCAGGCTGCTTACTATCGCACCTATCGCAGAGCAGTGCGGCTGGAAAGCGAAAACATCGTACAGACCTCCTAAAAGGTGCCGGATAACTCTGCTTGTTGTCCCCCAAGGCAGGCGCGCGGTGCTGCATCGTAAATCTCTGGGTCAGCTCAGCTTGCGCGTGTACACTTGCATCGCAGTGCATGTCCAGGTTCGTGAAAATTCCTCCTGCCAACCCATTCGAAGGACCATTGAAGCAAGGGCATGCTCCGAATTTTCGTGCTGCACATAAGCCTGCCCTCGCACCAAGTCATTGATGTGCCAGAAAGTTCCTGGCTGCCTCTTACAGAATATAGTCCTTGCCAAGTAAAACTTGCACACCGGCTTCCATTTCAGAGCGAGACAGATAAACAGCACAGGAACGAAGTCCGTCAATAGTGTGTGCTTTGGCTGGTCAGTTATCTTCTACTCTAGTTATTTTAACCAATAGAAACATCACATATCGCTCGTGTTATTACTTAACCAGTCGTATTCAATTGTACAGTTGCAGACCATATATATACAGGACATCTTCGTATAAGCGAGGGGTGTTCAAATTTTCGATTGATAATGACGGTTATCTGCATGCGCAATAACTATGAGCAATTGAAAAGCTTACATAAATATGCTGAGGAAAGTATGCATGCCCAGACGAAGACATGTCCAAAAACAAGCCCACATTTTAAAATTGATTTTAGCAACATTCCCTGTTAAAAGGTTTTTTAGCATTGATTAATAATGACCTGCATGTATGTGGCACACATTTTAAAATTGATTTTAGCAACATTCCCTGTTAAGAGGTTTTTTAGCATTGATTGATAATGACCTGCATGTATGTGTGGCACACTTTCCCAATTTGTTGGAACTCCAAGCGACATTTACAGAGCAAGCCTTGTAGTTGTCAATAGCACAAACATGCAGTTGTGAAGCGAGGTTACGAACACTAGTCAGCAGTTAACCCGTGTATCTCATGTTCAATGTTTGTTCCCACAAACTGCAGTTCTCTGCCACAAATCTATGGCAAAATGCTTAATGTGTGTTCATATTAAGTGCACGTGACTCCCAGCTATCTATAGTGCACTAAAAAATAAACCACAAACATCCCTCAAAAAGAAAGTTTAATCGCATAATTCAGCAAGCATCCTCAATATGTCCACATAGTCTAAAGATAACATATCTTTGACAATTAAAGCATACATCACTGGACACTGGGCAACACACTACGTAACAGTTTACAAGCACTAATTCTATGTGCCCAAATAATGGCATATTATGAACATCTATCAAGCATGCACTACACACAATGAAGTGTACAGAACGAAACCAGTGCATAATTTATACAAAATGAGTTTGCCACATATGTAACACTCAGTTCCCCCCGATGAATATGGCATGTTCCACAAGACACCACCACTCACACGTCTATCTTTGTCAGAGTACCCAGCATATAGAAGACCTAAGCAAAAAATGCGAGAAACCACAAGTGGTTGTTTCAACGTAAATTCTCATGAAAAGCCTGAGTGATGCAATCAAGCTGAACCTAGAGAAATTCAGTAGTCTGTTATTGTGCCCCCTTTCTCCCACCCATTTAAACAGTAAAAGAAAGTGGCAAAGTCTGTACTGTCAGTACAAAACCATAGACAAGAATGTTGCTTACTTCGAAGGAATTGCAGTAACAGCGATTCCAAGTCGTTTCACGGCCACAGCGCTGGGATGCTACCTCTCCCAACCAGATAACATTTTATTACCGGAAAGATAACTGCTATGGTCATGACCTTACATTTCAGCACAGCCTGTTTAGTGGTACGGAAACAGAGAAGTAACACTTAGCACACCACTACTACAGGTAAAAACAATACTAAAAGAAAAGCTTGAAGCAGCAACTAACCACTACATTAAAAAAGTGTGCGTCAACTGGTCCACTGTTTTTCAATACTATATGCAGTCACTTGAAAGATGTGGCCCCTATTCAGTCGCATAAGAACAGTGACTGAAACTAGGTTTGGTATACTGTAGAAATTTTAGTTTAATGCCATACTTTATAACAGAAACTAGTCACAGCTGTACACAGTTACAGCTGTTACAAGGGTGGTAAGTTGTAAACAGTGTTTTTAAAAAGAAAGGAAGTGCAAAATGAAACATACACTATATCAATGCAGCTCTCTATAGCTCTCATCCTGAGCTGATGTAATATGAAGCTTTGTTTTATTTTTCAAAGCAAAAATTGCCTGTAGTTTTCAAGTCAAGCTCTTGTTAACATTCCCATACCAAGCTTCGGCAAGGTGTCATTAAAAATGCAAATTTAGATTAGCCATTGCACACATATAGTCTACACTTCATTGAAAGAAACAAGATATTACATGCTTATTAGGCTCATAAGATCAACACGGGTGTACCAAATTAGAAGACCAATCAAGAGGTGGTTCCCATACATAAACAATTTTATGCAATACTGACCCTGTACAGCATGCTTAACCACATTGCTGACCTTGTTAGAAGTACGCTTTAGGGCATGAGACAGAGGCTTCTAAGTGACGGTTGCTGACGTGCACAAGTCATTATGGAGCAAGTTTGTATGAGCCAACAATAATTTGAGAATTATTAAATGCCTTATTTCACAGCAGCTGCGGCCTGCCAGAACAGTGTCCTTTCATCAGCATAAGGCCAAAGTTTCATTGTGATCACGACTATTAGGAGAAGAGCACCTATCGTGGCACAGCATTCAATATTGAAAGTAGTGAATACTACTTGCAGCATATGCGACAGAGTTGTATTTTTGCTTGCAATTTCAAAGGGGCTATTTGCAACTGTTCGGTACAGACGAATAACTGAATATATAGCAAGTCCTTTTCTTTACCATGTGAACTCAGATTTTCAAACTCCTGTAGTGCAACTGAAAAATAGCGGCAAGCTCTTATTCTCATGAATGATCATCAGACAATTTAATACGAAGTGAACTCGCATTAGTTAATGCAACGGTTCAGGTTAGGCCATCTTGTGCACTCTTAACATTACTTATGAATTCAATAACAAAAAATGCAGTACACATTAAGAACAAGCATCAAATGTCAACCACCAGCACTGTTTCCTTACATAACAAGATATGTAGCAGAAAGCTTACCAATGAATTTTGGCATAGCAGGAATTTTAGAAAGAGCGAGAGAAAATGACCATGTCAATGCACGAACGGGATAATAGAAAAGGAAAATATCGAAAAAAGCGCAATCATTAAAAGCGCTCTGTACATTATGAGAGATCTCAAGCACTTGACAAAAATGAAATCGCTTTTTAGCATGCTGTCCTTATACATGCTCATTTACATTATTCACAGACTTGCATCCACAGCATCTCTTCACAGAGTACAAAAGCCACCACCACAAAGGTCTAGACAACCAAACAGTACGCACTCTTAGGAAACACGTCCAACATCTCTGCAGTATAGAGAAGGTAATGACTGCAAACAACTTTCGCAGAAGCAGAAAACACAGATCCGACAAACATTATTTTTGCGGCTTTAACAGATACAAAGCAATATCTCGAGCCATGAAGAAATATAAAGGCTCTGTCACAAAGCTAGAGCTACCTTTGTGCATTCTTCTATTGCATAAGTAGGAAGCTTTCTTGGTGCATATGCGGCGACAATGCATATAAACACGCATGCACACACAGCTGCCGGCGCATTCATAGCCTGCAACCCACTTTATGACAATAAAAAGTGCTTATAATGACGTGCACACTGTAACACTACAGTGAAAATAAGAAGTACTGTTTAAAAAGCGTCGTTGATTTGAGAATACTATGGAGTAGATTTTTGTTCAAAAGGTGCAATACATAGAAAAAGGACATGCGACTGTCTTCATTGCATGTTTGGCCTCCATAGCTGCATATCGTTTCATAATTTACCTTCATTTCCATTCATTTGATTAATTGCAACACTTTTGATTACCACAAATAATGCCCCTATGATTTCCTTGGCCTCATTGTCTGCCGGCTCCATACGGTGGTGTCCAGAAAAAATGGGATCCTTGGTCCATTGCACTCCTGCTCACTATTTCATATACAGTTAAACCCCTTTATAAGAGGCACACTCTGGGCAGCAATTGTTGTCTTTTATATGAGATATCTCTTATAAGCAGGACACCACGTAGGCATGTTCTTATCAAACCGTATTTTATAGTGGGCACAGTGGTGTCTCTTACACCCATTTGTCTCTTATATCAGTGCCTCCTATAAGGGGTTTGACTGTAGTACGCCTTTTAACCTAACCTTTACATACTGGCAGGGGCGATTCGTGTATATGCTACACTGAAAACTTCTGATAACCATTATTCAAGCTCTTCTGACAGTACGCCTACGCTTTTTTGCAGTACCGACTGAGTTATTAAACTTGTATAGCATTCATCATTCTTTCAAGCCAACTCGCAAGGCTACATTAGCTCCATCTATCACACGACATTTCGAGAGAGGTGCAAGCAACAAGCCGACACTATGTAACAGCTCTAAAATAATTGCATACTGCCAGCATCCTTCCAATTTCATGCATCCACACAGCATAATCACTCCATTAAAGAACCAACACTCTCTTAACTATAAGAAATGCTAAAAAAAACTTGCATTTCTTAAAACAGACTTCTAACTGCTGAAGTACTACACAATAGTAAAGTTCACACTTATAAAAAGTAATGTTTGATCATTTCCTTCAAATCAAATTATGAGCCAAGAAAATAAAACATGCATAATGTTGTATTATAGTTAGAATCATTGTTGGCGCATGAGCCAGCAGTAGCACAGCTGAGACAAATCAGGCATTCACTTCACTTCTCGCATCATTGGTTGTCAAGAAATTGAATACAGAGCCAGAAATAAAGCTAGTTTTGCTATTTTCGTACATTCAAAGTATTACATACAACAAAACAAGCTTTTGACAGCATTAAGACACTTCCGAGTATTTGCATAAACAAGACGCTAATACGAAGCAGTGGGCATCCATGCTGTGCATCTAAACGAAAAGCGTCTGGTAAGCACAGACCCTAACACGTAATGAAACAGCGGCAACATTTCCCTTTGTTGACCAGCGGCTCGTTACAGCACTGACAGTGCGCATTAAAGGTTTGTCTTGTGTAATAATGCATTTAACATCTGTAACCGACCACTTTGTCAAGAGTCAATGAGAGGGCAGAGAGAAAACAATGCTTTCCTTGCACAAATGGTTCTCAAAAGAGCGAAGAATGGGACAGGGCAACAGAGAAAACCTTGCTGGCAAATTGGTCCAGACACCATCTTGCCAACACCACACACATTATGAAGGAAAAATTAAGCGCCCTATTTTCGATTGAGTACAGACAACCTTTCATCTGCCACTAATTCCCTTCCACCGAAAATTGTCTGAACAGACTTATAGTTGGACAAAACTAATAAAAGAAGAGAGAGACCCGGTCCGGACGACCAAGGCACGCAGCTGAGTGCACGCTTGGCTAAAGAAACAGTCCTCCTGACGGCCGGCTCACTGATCGTGTCGCTAGTGATGTTGTTCTAGAGTGCATGTTCAGTGGTGCATGTTTGTGCACATCCACCACTGAGGCGGAAACGTCCTTGCCTTCAAAAGTTGTACCCGACTATAGTCGAGGAAGCATTAGTGACTATAGATGGATGATCCCACCTCCTTCAATGTCGCAGTTTTCCAGATAATGAACAGGTCAGACAGAAATCCCGATTTCGCACGCGACAACGGAGGAATGATCCAGTGGTAAAACAGCCAAGACTGATGTGAAAACTCTTCTTCCTTCAGAGCAAGGTGAACCCAACTAGCATCAATTGATGCAAATAACGCCAAATTATGGAATGAAATCTCCACAAGAAATTCTTCCACCGTGAAAGAGCTAGAACAGGAACATTTTTGCGAAGGTTTCTGGGCTGTTGTCGTTCAAAGAACTAATAAGTCGTGCAGTTGAAAAGTGAGTTGGCTTGAAACCATGCTATCAAATTTCTTTTAGCAAGCAAGGACAAGAAGAAATGAAAAGTTGAAAATACAATATTTCTTAAAAATCCAGGATAGTACATGAAATGACTAGGATGACAATGCTTCAGCTGTGTGTTGTCACGTAACAATGTCCTCAACATGAGCTCTGCATCATGACATGGTTTTGCAACATATCGAAAGTATCTACTAAAGTGCCACTGATAAATGAGAATCGAAGAATAGCAAAGATTAACTTGTTTGTATAAGGTCGCTCAAAAAACCACACATGAAGCAGCACACACATCTGTCTTCACAGCTATTTTGCCAGTGTTGCTGCAGCAGTGCCAAAAGGTCAAATAACACTAGAAAGAGTTAAAGAACACTGAGGCAAATAAAAAAAGCACGGATACAAGTATATGACGATCAATGGTATTTACAGAACTGCATCAATGAGCCTTCAACAAACCTTACGCGACAATGCTCAAACATCTGGCCAGGTGCCATCTTGGTTGCGTCAAGAAGTTGCGGCATTCTCATGGGATCGCATGTGTTGCTGCAGTGCATGGCAGTATCTTCGGGTTGAATTTTGTGTTTCGGCACTTCAATTTAGCCGTTTGTGATCCTCGTGCAACGAAAAACGGTGAAACGGCTACGCCTTCCAACTGCTGGCAACGTAATATGGAAAAACGATTTAGTTCTACCGTATGTCGGTGAAGATGTTTCAGCCAGCCTCTGCAGAACGGTGCAGTCTCGCCAGCTGACGCATTCTCAGAACTTTGCTGTCAAGGCGTACACCTGACTGTCATCAGCAGCTACGAACGTCTGTGGTTTAAGGTACTATCGGCACCAAATAAAACGCGAATAGCTGTGAGCACACACATCCAGCTTGAAAACACTGCGCTTGTGCGCACCTGTTACTGGTGATGACTGCAGCAGCAATATTTGTTACATATATCAAATAGACCTGTCGCACAAATATTTAAATAACCTGCACTATTGCCATTTTTTTTGGGTGTGTGTCTCTTTCCTATATGACTGAATGGAGTTCCGAAAAGGCTGAGGGCAAGCCGTGCCCCCCAATGACATTGCAGGCCCCCTAAAGATTCTTTTTGCTACTTTGTCCCATGGTATGGCTTAACAGACAAAGAAGTCGCCACTACGTTTGATATTTGGGCTGCTGTACCTTCTTTCCTTTGCTATCGGTCACTTCACGTTGATTGCAAAAGGGAACACGGAGGTGTTGCAGCATCTTGATCACCATGAATAAAATTAAGAATGATACGTGTTTCGCTGCCACTTCACAGCGGAGTACGCAAAAATGTGTTTCGTGCGTCCACGCATAATGTCTGCTTCACCTGACGTAACCAGGATAGTGCTGCCGATCGCTACGTTGTCTACTAGATGGCGCTACTAACTTCGGATAAGGTCTATTGTTGTACCAGGTTATCGGAACTCTAATTGCAACAGATGGTGTGCAGATATGCACAACTAAGACATACACGTCCGGCTTGTGTACCAAGTTACACCCGTCATTCCTCAAAAGAGGGGGCGAGAAAGAACGCCAGGCCTGCGCAGAAGGCGCAGCACAATCGCAGCGAAAGCTAGAAGAGCGGCCTTTTAGAGCCTTTTCGAAACACTCAATGGTAACTACTGCAAGCACACTTGCTTGATACCACTACGTCATTAATGAATTTATTTGAGTAGTAGACCAGCATTTGGCATTCACAATGTTATTTTTCGTCATTCTTCTGAGAAGCGTGGTATTCGCTAAACACTTGCAAAGAATTTTGTACCAATTGTTCATGCAGTGGCTGACGACGATGAGGAAATATGGCTGAAGTGGGTATGCGCCATAGTTAATAAGAGAACAAGAGCAAGCTTTTGTGATAGTTTGGAGCATTGGACGGCCCACTACTGACGCTATTCGCATTGTACGGCGACTGGTTGTTCTTTCGCTGTTTTAAAACGCTTTGTAAGTCATATTAACGCAATTGCTTTCCTTACATCAAGCCTGCCTAAGGCAAGTTGGACAGCAAGTCACAAGCACCGATGTAGCTTAGTGGTAGAATAGTGGGCTGGCACCCAGCGGACCCAGGTTCGAGCCCCACTGTGTCATCAGCGCTAGGTCAAGCCAGCCTAAGGCAAGTTTGACAACAAGTTACAAGCACCAGCGTAACTCGGTGGTAGAATACTGGGCTGGCACCCAGCGTAACCGGTTTCGAGCCCCACTGTGTCATTGGTGTTGGGTTTCTTTTCTAATTTCGCGTGATGTGGTTACGAACACCCGCTGTGGCGGACAACTGCGCGTGACCCGAGTTGTGTTCTCATAACAGCTGTAAAAAAAAAAAAATGATGCCAATGTAAACTTGCAATTTTTAAATATTGTGCGCTTTCTTACGTACTACAGCGTAAAACGCTGAGACTTGTACTGTCTTGGAACTTGTTGCATTGTTCAGCAGAGTAAATTAAACAGGACACATATAGCCTTACGTCATAGCTTTGTCAATTTTATTCAGAAACCACTTACTCGCACAATATACGAGACTGACCTTGCCTTACAGAGTGCCTTTTCTTCGGCACTATACCGAAACTGCAGCATACAGTATATAACCCAGTTTACCACAAATGGAAAGAACAGATGTAACATGACCGAATGATGAAAGCTTGATTTTAGTCTCTGCAAGACTGCACAGGCTACTCTCAATACATAGGTGACAGCTTGGCACCAGGATTCAATGAAGCCAAATAAAAACTAAAGAAATAAAGTTCTAAAAGTGTATCCGTCTGTCATCAGCTTCTTACTAGCTTTCAGCTGTTTGTTTTGCTTGTTATCTGTTTTTTACACTATCAGTTTAAGTCTAACATTTCCTCAATACTTTGACGAAACAGATCCTTTCTTTTAGGTTACATTTATGGTGGCCTTACATGCATACCAACAGTGTAGTAAACGCACCAATTCACAGAGTGAAATAATTTGTTTTCCAGTTAGAAAAAACTGACATTACACCTCAAGTTATTCACGATGCCACTAATGTTTGGCAATCTTCCAATTGCTCACTCACAATAACTTGAGCCTTGCATAACTCACTACTTGCCTCAGCATGAATTGATATATACAGGATTGCAAAATACAGCAAGAAAATGTCACCAGTAAAGAAAATCCTCTGCACAAAAAGAAGAAAAAGCAACAAAATGGTTTTAGACGGTCGTACATCTGTGTGCGTGAAGAGTGTAAATGTCACGATCAAAACTCGCCAGACCAGTATCTATGTACAGGTTAGATATGTACTCGGAGGTCTCAAAATGGCCGGACAAGGTTGGTATGAATCTACACTCTAAAGCTTCATTCACACCGAAGGCGGCGCGGCAAAGCGGGATTTCCGAAGCGGCGAGGTGGCGAGTGCGTGAACCTGTTCAGACCGGATGCCTTCTTCGTCTGGCCGCGCGGCAGAGAAGGCGGGCATCTCACGATTTTGTGCATATGCCGCTATGACGTGTCTGTGCTTCTCCCAAACGTACACCCGCACCACCACCGCGCTTCCGCTGCGTGGCGTTCCGATTGGCTGCGGCAAAGCGGCGAGCCTCGGCAGGCGGCGAAAAATTGCTCCGAGAGCGATCGGCCTTGCCGCGTGGTTTTTCTCCCGCTTTCGCCACCTGGTGAGGAGGTTTTTCCCGCGTTGCCGCCTCGTCGCTTGCCGCCTTCGGTGTGAACGAGCCTTAAAGCTATGCTTGATCTTTGTCAATGTTTGTCATTAACAACCGCTTTCACATAGTGTTGCCACCAGATGAAGAATGGTGCAACGACAGTGAAAACACTGCCTTCTCCATTGCATGAGAACCTTCAACGCTCGCGTGTGGCCTACGCCTAGCAACAAAGGCTCAGCTGGCATCTGAACCCCTTCCAGTGGCGAAATCTCGCCACATCCCGAACTTTACTAACAAAACCTGCGATGAGGTGCAATAATAAGCCACACTTACATTGCCATCCAATTCTGTATTGCACTTATTGAAATAAAATTGCAGGTAGGACATTCTTTACAACTCCAGCAGTAGAATTATCTGAAGGATGGCTTAAAAACAATTTTTTTTTTCCCCCGAGGAAAATATGAGAAGATGGTCTCTGATGGTAGTGAAGCGGTCCCAGTGCACAATTCACAAATGGCGAAGAAGGAACGATGATGACTGCTGTACAATCACTGCTTGCGTCGGCAGGAGCGCTTGTGTTCTTTGTGCCAATGAACTTGCTGGCATTCTACACTGCAGTATAATGTGTTCCAACAGCAGTGGTAGATTGCTTCAGCTTCACAGTTGTAACACTGCAAGGATAAGCTATGAGTTAGTAAGGCTTAAACATCAAATGAACATGTTTGAAATGATAATCATTGATTAACTGAAAAGTTCAAACACAGTAAAAGCTCGAAAATTCGGATTTCACGGGACCGGAAAAACTGTCCCAATTAACCGAATGCCGAATTAACAAATCAACAGGGAAAACAACATTTAAAAATCAAGCTGCAGAAGCATACCTTTATTTGAAGTATTTTGTAATTGTCGTCTGTGTTTTTGCGTAGATTCCGGCTGACATCACAATTTTTCTTAACTGTTCCAAATGGCCAACAGCACGCAAGCTGTCGGGAGTGTTCAGGCAAGCGTCCTCTAATATTAACAGCGCCTCCGAGACTTCCCGTGAGGTGGGATGAGGTCCCGGCTGTATCTCCTCGCATGATTCTTCGTTGGAATCGTGGTCTTCATGGGCACCCATGACATCATTAATAATCTCTTGATCGGTCAGGAGACCACTCGTGGCGACACCATGATCAATCGCGATGTAGTCCTGAAAGGTCACATCTGTGGGAAGGACAGCATCGGAAGTCGGGCAGTCATCGTTGGTGGACTCGGCTGACACCTCCTCGATGCTATGGTCAGCTACTGCTGCATGCTCGGGCCTCACAAAACCGCTGTGCCGAAAACAGTTGGCGATGACTTGCGGCGGAGTGTTTTTCCACATGTGGGCGATGATGTGCACTGCGCCGAGTAAGTCCACTTGATACAACTTTCCAGCTTCTGAGCATAGGATCATTCGCTTTAGCAGGTGCTTGCGGTACTTCGACTTCACGTAATGAATGATACCCTGGTCCATCGGCTGAAGAGCAGACGTAGTGTTGGGCGGCAAAAAAACTACTTTGATGCTCTTAAGTTCGACTGTACAGTTATGGGCACTGCAGTTGTCAACAACCATAATTATCTTGCGGTCCTTCGACGTGAAGCGCCGGTCCAACTGCTGCAGCCAGCCGCGAAAAATGTCCGATGTCATCCATGCCTTCCTGTTCGCTGTGTACTCAACAGGAAGGCTTTTGACGTTCTTAAAACAACGTGGCTTAAGCGCCTTCCCGACGACAAGTAGTGGCAAGCGCTCCGTGCCAGTCATATTGGCGGCAAGAAGCACAATTATCCTTTGCTTGCACTTCTTGCCACCAATGCACGCGTCCCCTTTGAAAGTCAGCGTCTTGTCGGGCAGAGCTCTGAAAAATAGAGCAGTTTCATCTGCATTGAACACGTCACGTGGTTCATATGCGGCGATGTGCTCCAGCAGCTTCACATTTCTCCACTCGGTGGTCACGCTTTCGTCAACACTGGCCTTTTCGCCGCACACACTCCTGTAGACGAGCTCGTGTCTCTCTTGAAACCTCGCAAACCACCCTTCTGACGCTTTGAACGATTCAATGTTCATCATTGCAGCGTACTTCTCACCTTGCGCTATGATGAGAGGTCCGCTCAAAGGCAGATGCGCGTTGCGACAGTCAGTAATCCACCGGAGCAAAGCTTCTTCGAGCTGGGGATGAGCTGCGGTTCCCAACCGCTTTCTAAAGGCATGAAACTTCTCGCTTTCGAAGGCTTGTCGAATCTGTTGTTCATTTTTCACGTACGTTCCCAACGTGCTCCGCTTCACATTGTACTTGGTCATAACCTGCTGTCGCGATTCGCCGTTCTACAGTGCTTCCGAAATTTCCACTTTAGTCGCCAAGTTCTTCGCGTCGTAGTTCTGCCGCTTTTTCGGCGTTGCCATCACTGTAGCGCACGATGGTGGTGGCATGCAAATACGGTCACAATGAAAGAAAAAGAGAACTCCGCAAGAAGAGATGGTTCCGACACGACAACACAAGGGAAAATGGCGTCGGAGGCGCTGCGTGAAGAAGAAAGAAGACGCCGACGTTCAATGACGCTGCGATCGCCCCCACTAGTTGATGATGATGGTGATGCCACTCAGGTTTCGGTTTCACTCCAGTGGTGCCAGCGCTGCTTTATCACACTTTTGTGTAGCAGCAGCCGTCAGCATTTGTCCAAATTAAGCGGTGCGGAGCCGAATTCCGACGAAATAACCAAGGTTTCATCCCATAGATTAACGTGCGCTTTGGCCGGGACCAATAGAGCCGTCTGAATTATCCGAATTAACGAGCTTTTACTGTATTATGACATTGCTGAGATAATCACCTTTGCCATTAGCTTAGCTGCACAAAAACTCTGCAGCGTGCTACAAAGATAAGAAAACACAAGAGATAATAATATAAAAATGACAATATGGTGGACAAGTGTTCCATGTCAACGCGGTGTTTTCTTTATGCCCATGTAGTTTTTGTGCTAAAGGTTTAGTGTGGATCGCCAACAAACCTAGAATGCTTTTCTTTAGAACCCAGACTATGTATAGCATAACTATTGTGTTACATACTGCTCTGTGTTTCTTCACTACACTAAGCTGTTCAGTTGTCTCAGATGTGCTGCTGCAAAATTCCTAGGCACTTCTGAACATGGTGCTCTCTCACGGAAACAGAAACTAGGTTTTCTTAGCCTGTCAGTTCAGGACAATTATGCACTTACTTTTCAATGTGTTGAATAAAGTAGGAAAATACTTCATAATAATGATGATAATATCTGGGGTTTTCCGAAAACCATGAATATGAGAGGTGCCATAGTGGAGGGCTCCAGAAATTTTGACAATTAGGTGTTTTAATGTGCACTGAGGAAAGTACTTCACTCTTGCAAAAAGGTTTGAAGGGGTGTGAAAAAAATGTCAACCTAGAAATCAACAAAGAATATACAAAAAAAGGAACAAAAGCTGAGCAGCACACTCACCCACTGCTTTTTCTTTGTTTCAGAAATTTCCTGCCGGTGGCGTTCCTGCAACTTCGCAATTTCCTGTTCGCGAGCCTCTTTGTCTCGAACCTTGTGCTGCTCCAAGTCTGTCCGCATGCGCTCCAGCACTGCACTGACTTCCTTCAACTTTTCTGCTTCACACTGTTTTTGGACCTGCGTGCCAGCAAATGCAAGCCATGTGAAGACAGGGAGGTACCTGTACATACTCCAATGCATTCGAACATGGCTGAAATCTAAAGCAATGTAAAACAACGGCATGGGAGATGAGAAGAATAACTCGAAGAAAAATAAGACGTGCGTCTGCATTACATAGTCTCGTGTTTTCATGCTTCGTATTATGAACTCACTCAACCTAGACACCTAAAAATAGCAAATTAGAAGCAGGGTTTCAAACAGGGCTATGGGCAAGGGATACAAAGCCCTGCTTTGCTTGCAAACTGAAAAACAGTGCTCTATCTAGACTTTGATTGATTGATATGTGGGGTTTAACGTCCCAAAACCACCATATGATTATGAGAGTAGAGGAGGGCTCCGGAAATTTCGACCACCTGGGGTTCTTTAACGTGCATTCAAATCTGAGCACACGGGCCTACAACATTTCCGCCTGCATCAGAAATGCAGCCACCGCAGCCGGGATTCGAACCCGCGACCTGCGGGTCAGCAGCCGAGTACCTTACCCACTAGACCACCACGGCGGGGCGCTCTAGACTTTCACCACTAGTGAATACCTGCACACGGGTCTTAAATCAATATGTACCAGTGAAGCTGGTCGTTTTATCAGTATTGTACAACGAAATGCACCAGCAGAATAGTGAGAATTAAGAATGTGGGCATTAAGAAGATGACAGTTTAACATCAGCTTAAGCTTGTGTCCCTGCTGCCTTATCAGCTTGCACTGCCAGGCCGGTATGAACAGTCATGAAAAAGATGTGTTAGCAATAATAAGGAAGAGGAAGAACTACATGAAATGCGAGCAACCCCTGCTCCCAATATGATCAAGCATTCATTGCACGAGGGTGTGGTCACCACTCCTGCGTTCAACTTTATTTTGCAGCAGGCGTAGGCTACCGTATAAACCGGAATATAAGTCGAGATTTTTTCAATAAGATAATAAGCTAAAGTTGCCCCTCGTCTTATATAGCGGTGTCTAGCCGAAAGTGCAATGCTGTCTGGCAACATATGGCTTGCATGTGCTTGTGAAGCCAGACGCGGCCATATCCGCATCCAAATCCAATCGCAGTCTGTTTTCTTTGTGTTCGTGATTTGCTTCTGATCTCTTCCGAGTTTTCGCTCCGCTTGACATTGCGCTGCATTTTTAGTGGCCTTTTTTTTTTTTTTTCGTTCACTGAATATGTCTAGCGGTGCGAGGAGGCAGTACTCAGCTGCGTTTAAACTAGATGTTAAGTTCACAGAAGCGAACGGGAATATGGCTGCTCAGCGCCGCTTTGGTGTATCAGAAAAAAGCGTGCGCTATTAGAGCGCGCAGAAAGGGAAGCTGCAGATGTGCAATCCTCGAAAAATGTCCTTTCGTGGACGAAGTGCCGTTCATCCGCAGCTGGAGGATAAGCTAGCAGACTTTGTGCGCTAGCTAGCGGGAAGTTCGTGCGCGCTCGCTGCCAGTGATCGTGGATACCATTCGCAAGAAAGCCGTGGAACTCGATCGGGAAGCTGGGCTCACGAGAGAAGAGTTTCGTGCACCAAACTCTTGGGTGCGTCGATTTATGCGACGCAAAGAATTTTCTCTCCGGCGGCGCTCATCCATCTGTCAAAAGTTGCCAAAGGAGTTCGAGGACAAGCTCATAAACTTTCAGCGCTTCGTAAACCGGCTTCGGGAGCAGAACGGTACATGATGGGGCAGATTGACAACACCGATGAGACCCCCGTGTGGTTTGACATGCCTTCGTCGACCACGATCACGCAGCGCGGCGCCAAGGATGTGAAGCTGCTGTCCACTGGCAACGAGCACTCGCGCTTCACCGTCATGCTGGCATGCACGGCAGATAGTAGAAAGCTTCCGCCCTTCGTCATTTTCAAACGCAAGACAATGCGATGGTGCGACAGTTGGTGCCACAATGCGATTGTGCGACAATGCGACAGTTGCGATGGTGGTAGAGGGGAGCTCCGACGAACGGGATGGGGTGCGTCCAATCCGCAAATAAATGTGGTTCGGCAGTTTTGGGTTGTTTTCCTTTTTTTTCTTTTTCGGTAACCTGAACTTGGGGGGTCGACCTATATTCCCACTCGACCTGTAGTCCGGTTTATACGGTACTGTCCGCACCGTAGTTGGCACTTCAAGTGGCTCTGTCTATTGCCTTCTCGTGCTAGTCGAGGCCACCAACAGCATCAATTACCTCTTCCATTGCCTAAATGACCACGGCAGCAGCAGCGTCAGCAAACATGAATGTCTCAAAGTTATAGTCTACCTGTTAGCCAGTAATCTAAAATCTCATGAACACCCTCATACAGATCGCTGCAAGTCCACAGTCGGTGTCAGAATGGTCATCGTCTGGGTTGCTGACAATGGCACGTTAAAACCCGGCAAGCTACATTCTGCTGCAATGGTGCCCAGAGCCTGGAAGAGGCATTCATCACTGTAGACCACAAAAAACAGACATAAGACATATCTGACGAAGCACCCTGAATGGTTCTAACATTGCCTGCAGTACTGATCCAAACGCACATGTCAGTGCCAAAATGACTGAATGTGGTGGGTGATGCAAAAGCTTCAAAATGTCATTAAGGCATATCTCTATCCTCGTGTGCACTGGTGATAGCGACAGTTGCAATGGTAGGCCTTAACTTTAGCTTCAGGTATAGCAGAAGAACAGCGAGCAGACTTGAAAAAAGCAGGAACTGCAGGGGGGCACTAGCTGAGCCAAAGTTTTTGCTCAGGAGCGCAACTGTGGAAGATCCACGGCATCAAAATTGGCAGCAAGGAGGCCAGAGAGATCAGCGACTGGCATCCGAATGGCTCACAGACTAGCAAATGAGGAGGGTAAGCCAGTGGCTACTCTTGTAGAGGAGGGGGCGGGGGGGGTGCAGATGTCACAAAATGCTTCAAAGTGCCCTAAATGCCTAAGGTAGTGTTCAGTGCTTAAAAATGCTCATTCTGCGTACACAGTGCAATTGTGATAAGTGGACGGTTTTGCAGTGGGGGCACCATAAGTTCGCGCATCACAGGGATCGCCCTTCCGGCGCGCCCAGTGCATTTAGTTTCGGTTTCTCCCACACTGCGGTCTAGAAATTCGGTGATGGATCTCTCCAACTACGCGCGATATTTTCAAACTTTAAAATCCAGGCAGGCTATAATTTGTGATGTAAAACAACTTCCCCATATAAACAATGACCCTAAAATTGATAATAAAAAGTTAGTTGAAATTATTTTAATAATTAATCATTTCCGAGTTATCTAATTAGTGGCAAACCCTTTCCACCTCAGCCTAGAAATTGTCTGTGAAGATGGCACGTGCCTAACCATTATAGTTTTCTGAATAAAATTCTGGATTGTTTAAAAAAAACACCGAGTGTGTTTATATACAGGGCGTCCCAGTTATCACGCAGCACGATTTAAAAAAGAGGAATGGCATTACGGGAGGCGAACCTAGAGCATATTGTTCCCGATACACTGAAGTAGCCGCTACTAATTTTAGTTAATGACTATTAACCAACTAATGTAATTATACTTGTAACTCACAAAGTACTTGCCTAATCATCAATATGTCAATGAGGAAGATGTGCACATGTTATAATGACATCTGTTTGTGCTACTTCCAACAAGCGTACTAATTGAGAGCTCATTTTTGTCTGTGAATAAAGAAAGCCAGCAAAATATTAAAAATGACACGCAACTGCGCTCACACCTGCAAAAGAAATCACCGCCCTCAAATAATCTTAGTGGAAGCAAGCGCTATGCCTCTTTTCCGTTGCCATAGCCAGCATTTTGCACATTCGCAATGCTACAGGTGGGGTGCCAACATGTGTCGCAGTTTAGCAGGAATTCCTTCCGCTTGATTGTACATCGCTGCAGCCGAACCCCGGTACAACGAACGCCGCTTCAATGAAATTTCCGCTACAACGAAAAACTTACGGTTACCCGTGAGCAGTCCATAGGAGTCAATGCATAAATCGCCACAACAAACACTTTTTCTTCTGCCGTTTTGCTTCAACGAAATTTCACGATGCAATTACAGGTTCAGATATTTATTGCTATACAGGAAAACCAATTTTTAACACTTCAATGCATTTTGAAAACCTGAAAATACGTCACCGAAATCTTAAACATGCGTCGGAAACACCAGAAATCACTGCTGTTCAGCAAGCATGGGCGCCGCCATTGCTCGATAGCGATGGCAATGAGACTGCCCTGCTCATGGAGGATGGCCCTGCTTTTGCCACTGGCTTGTTTTGAAGCCGCAGACAATCCAAAGCTGAAGCTCAGTCGCTCAGTTCATGGTTTCCTTCACGCAGCTGCTGCGTGCAACCGTGGAGCGATGGTTTTTCCGATTCCAATGCTTATCGTTTTATTCATGCTTGGCCAGTGTGGTACCTAATCATAGTGGCTGTTCATCCGCATTATCAACCAAATCAGCCAGCCGCGAGATTTGTATGATAAGAATGGCATAGAATAAGGCAAAAGTCACCGCTACACAATACCATGCCCTCGTCTCGGCGTTGTTGGATACACTTTGACGGCGGACGGCTGCTGGTGTTAACGTGTTATGCAACTGTTTGGTATGTTTACGAATGCGGTTGTAGGCGTTATTTCAGCGGTTTTCACCATGGCCTCGCTATGCACGACTGTGAATCGCGTCATGACGCTGCTAGAAAAAAACAGGAAGCAGCGAACACATTTTTAATTTTAAGAAGAAACATTCCTCTGTTTAGCTAGCTAAGATCAGCTACATTTTCTTTTTCGATTTCACTACAACGAAATTCTTGCTTCAACGAAATATTTTCCGCACCCCGCAAGTTTCGTTGTAGCGGGGTTCGACTGAATCACCATTCGTATTTCACAATGATCTGTTCTCATTGATGATGCGACGGGATCACTGTTCTCATTAGAGTGATTACAGCCTGACTGTGCAATATCAAGCGGTGTGTTTCTTCAGACGGAAGTGGCAGATAGCGCAATCCTTTTTTTTTCTTTCTACATTTCCTTCATTGCTACTGGCTAGCTCAAAGTGAGCTTGTTTGAGGTCGGTTATTTCTGATGCATGTAGCTTTCTTGTCCCGTGTTATTTTCCGTATTTAGCAGGCTTTCTTTATCAACAAAAAAAATGAACACGCAATTGGTATGTTGTTGAAAGTAGCACAGGCAGATGTCG